AACAAATGATCTCTAGAAAAGCATCTAAAGCTTTAATCCCTAGAGGTGCTCTGGGTGAGCAGGACCCCTCCCAGCAGCCTTACTGGGATGTTGCACAGAGCTCTGATCATACAGAGCCACTTCCACACTGGCAATCTAATTTCTCAGCTGCTCTTCATCTTATCTGTGACATTTATGGAGAAGTTCATCAGTTTTTCTGTGGAGGCAAACATATTTATTTTACTTGTCTGAGAAGCACAAAAGTACAGAACACAAGGTGGTGTAGCAGCAGGCAAGCAATAATAACTCACTGTCAGGGCTGCTCATCAGATGGGGAAAGATTCCACTGAAGTGACCTCTGCTTCAGCTCCTCTCTGTGTGCTGGACTCTGTTACTTCTTGGCACAATAAGACCTCAGGGTTGATTTCAGCAAATTCATGATTATTTCCCCGGCAAAGACATTCACAAAAAGCACCATTTCATAGGCAGGGAGAAGTTGAGAATATGTGAGGTCAGCATTGTTACATTTGCTTACCTGCAGTTTCACACTAAACACGTGAGCTGAGATACCTGAAGAGTTTCCCAATCAGCCAAGCTATGTAAGAAACAGGGAATCACTAATTTACTGTCTTCTGCAAAATTTCAGGGTGTTAGGTGAGCTCTCAAGCTGATCACAGAATGTTTTGGGTTGGAAGGAACTTTAAAGCTCATCTCCTTCCACCCCCTGCCATGGGCAGGGACACTTTCCACTAGACCAGGCTGCTCCAAGCCCCGTCCAACCTGGCCTTGGACCTTCCAGGGATGGGGGATCATGAGAATGCCAGCTTCCAGAATCAAAACATCTTAGTTGGCAAAGGACATCTTAATATGGGGAGTAAGAGCAGCACTGAAAGGGTTACAAACAAGCTGGCAACACCCTTTGCTGTCACAAGCTGCTGATATTAGAAGCAGCCCTGTCATCAACAGCATGTTCCCAGCCACATGCAGAATACCTGCCTTATTTACAGCTGCACAAATAGAACTGTGGAAAATTGGAGATTGTTCTAGGAAGGAGCCGGAGCCCTGAGCAGGCTGCCCTAACGAGACTTCAGAAGCACTCAATTGATTTACTTTATCAAAGAGAAACTGAAGAAGTGATTTGATCAGTGCCTGCATGGGTCAGGATTTCAAATGCTCAGAGGGCTCTTTAATCTAACAGAAGGTATAATAAGATTCAGTGCCTGCAATCGAAGCTAAGCAAAATCAAATTGCAATTAAGAAATGTTTAGTCAGCAAGGGTAATTAACTAGTGCCACAATTTTAGGGGTCAGAATGGAATCACCACCTCCTGAAATGTTTTAATTTGAATTATTTCTTGGAATGGTATTCCATCTATGGAATGCAGTGAAATACGGTGGGGTGTGTTCCTATCAAAAGCACAAGGACATATGACTAGGATAAATGTGCATATGAAATATAATTTTAAAAAACACCTGATGCGTGATCCTCCACAAGTAGTAGTTTCTAAGAGTGAAATATTTCCTGCAACTTTCCCATTAAAAAAAAAAAAAAAAACCCAATTATTTTTCTGTATTGCTTTTCTCACTGAAAACTCACCAAAGGCACACATGCTTTACAGGCACTGCCAAAAATTTAGTGCAAAGTCTTGGCCAATTTGTCCTGCAAAGTCATTCTCATTGCAGGGGACTGGGGAAATGTTTGTGAGAAGTAGACAGAGAAAAGGGACTGTGGAAAATTACTTTAACTTGCCTTTAGTGCAACAATTAAAGCAGCAGCCTGACTTTGCTGGAATCTTTGTTGTCTTTCCCAGTAATAATGGTGCCAAAAGGAATGAGATGTGCGTTATAGTGGCACACAGAAGGAAAAGCAGAGCCTGTTTGCTAGCCCTCCAAAGACTCTTTTGGTTGACTATCCTAGTGAGAGATTAGTTTGCTGCCACTTCCCCTCCCACCTGCATTTTGGATTGTTCACAAAATTGCCGCAAACACATCCTGAGAGGTGCGGGCCTCGCTGAGCGCCTCATTACCGCGCTCAGCTCCACACTCGTGGGGTGATTAGATAGAGAGGGAACAATGTGTAACCTGCATCAGGCTTTATTAGCAGAACATGGAAGTGTTAAGCTCAGCTCACACACAGCAATTTGTCCCCAAAAAAGCTCCTCTACATCTTCCTTGGCCGAGATAAAATGCTGGTGGGAGCAACTGAGAGTCCAGAGCTGCTGCTGTTGTTGGGGTTGGGATGTTTTTGCAGGCAGCACAGGTGCCGTGCATGATGTGTTTGTCACAGAGGCCTGGAGGAGGTGATGGCCTGAACAGTTTCAGCTGTGTGTCCCAGGGTGGAGAGGGGGTGACCCACATTGTGTGACGCTTTTCTTCAAGCAGAAACCCTGGCTGAGTGAGGCACACGTGGTGCTGCCACAGACCACACTTTGCATTCTTCCATGTGGTGGTGCTGAGGCCCTGGCACAGGGTGCCCAGAGAAGATGTGGCTGTCCCTGGATCCCTGGAAGTGTCCAAGGCCAGGTTGGACAGGACTTGGAGCAACCTGGGATATTTAAATGAGATTGTCCCTTCCATGCCCAAACCATTCTGAGCTTCTGTGCTGCAAGAGCTGTTCCTACAATCAGAGGGATTTGTACCAATTTTTATCTCATTGACCAAAGAGACCAGCTGTCACTATGGACTCAAAGGCCAGAAACACACCCCTCTTTGCTGCTGAGCACCTTCTTCTAATCCCACCTCCACACCATGAGTGCCTACCTTAAGGGAAGTTATTCTGGAAAGAACAAGCCACTTTCCTGGCTTTTACCTCTCCCTGTGACACATCTCTCTGAGAAGAAAGCCAAGTACACCAGAATTAAAGGAACTGATGAAGAGAGAAATTAGTAATTGCCTGCAAAGCAGCTGGCTGATCTGAGCTCCATTTTACAAGTCGCCTGTGCTCTGCGTGTGCCCTGCCCGAATTAGCACCAGAACCACACATTAGTTTTAAGACTCCCTTTCGAATTGGGATCTCGTAATGTTTTTTAATTGGGGCTGATAAAAATGTGGCATTACTTGCAGGTTCCTCAGAGAAGCCAATTGTGAAATTGGGTTTGTATTAAACCTAATGATGGAAAATTAAGCATAGTACGTCTGTCGGAAATGGTCCGCGATAAAAATCTTCTCCTTTTCATTACAGGAGGTTAATAGGGAATAGGGGAGCAAAGATGCACTGGGAAAGCGAATCCAACTAGGGGAATTAATAAGCCTTGAAATTCCCTCTGTTCAGAGTTCTCACACTGTCATTAGTCAGAGCATTAGGGATGATTATACAAATGCTTTGGATGTTACTCTTCCTTAAATCCCAAATTTATTCACATTTTGTGTTTGAGGGTTGCTTTGCTTGAGCCATAGTTCTGTAAATCTGAGTGTCCTGGGAATTGACTGTGTTTATGAGAACCTGGCACTCAGAAATCCTGAAATTCAGGAGTGTAATTTTCAAAGCAGATGATCACTGTGCTAATTTATTTGGGAGGAGCAGGCTGTGTTCAGCATCTCTGACAATTCACCCCCCTGCCGTGTTGATGTCCCACTGGTGATGAGCTTGCCCTGCAGCAGTGTCCACTGCTGGCATTCCCATCTCCTCACAGTCCTGCAGCTACCAAACAGAGCATATCCCTGCTTTCACATCTTCCCCTAATCTAATAATAAACCAGCTGAATTGCTATTTGTCATGTCTGTGCTGAGGACACAGTGGGATGCCCTCAGCTCTCTGTTCCTTCCCACCTTTGCAGGACAGACATGGGCAGCCCCTGCCCAAACACCACAGTAGTTTCGCAAGCAGAGCAATGTTTACAAGAGCATTCCAAGATTATTTCTGCCTCACAGAAATTACCCTGAAATTGCAATTTGATTTATTTATTCTTTATCCCTTTAAAAAGGTGGCCTCAGTGTTGCTCTCAAGGGGTGGTGTCTCAGCTCTTTGTCCGAGAACTTGCTGTAAGAAACAAACCCTGTGTGTGAAAGCTCAAGGGGGTTTTGTGAACAATCTGAGGGAGGTGCATTTTCTGTTTGCTAATACCTTGGTTTGGGTAAGGCCAGAAAGAATTGATGAAGGTTTTATGTGTGAAAGGAGCTGAGCATCTCAGATCCCTGCAGTCCTAGGAAAAAACAGTGCTATATTTGGCCAACTACTTAAATTTGGACAGCTCTAGACAGCTAGATAAGTCGTTGAATTTTTCATTTAGTCTGAGTTCCTGTTGTTAAAGATTGTTACAGTCAATTGTTTGGTTATTGAAGTTATTATTTCTTTTCTGTTAGTTCACTGGGAATATTTTGTTGTGCATACAGTTTTGCTGGGGATATGAAGTTGCAATTCCATCTGCATAGTGAGAGATTGCTTTAAATCCACTTCTTTCAAAATGACCTGCTTTTCTATTAAGGTGACATATCTGAAATTTAAATTTCTGCACATAAGATAACTATGTTTCTATGCTGGTTTAGTTTTTTTTCCTGATGATATTACATCTTTGTCATTGGCATACAAAATTTTAGGCCTGAACTAGCAGAGCAGTTCACTTTGCCTGAGCATCCTGACTCACTTGAAATGCTAATCATTTGCTTGCTCTTCTCTGGGGTCCCTCTCAGTTATCTCATGCTATACACCCCAAATCCTGCCTGGATCTCTTGCTCATCTCTGTGTATCTCTGAGCCATGTTCTTTGCAGGTTTGGGAAGACAGTAGCTACGTAGCTCTGTTGGAGTTGCTGTGGGGAGCTCACCCTTGATGTGCCATATCCTTGTTAGCCTGACTGGCTGTTCACTCTCTCCCTGTCTTTTTGGGTTTGTCTGTTTGATGCAAAAAAATATTCAAGCGTGATTTAGTCCTTCGTGGCATTTTAGATAAGCCTGTGTTTTCTATGCATTTCTTTACTTCTTTTTGCCTTCACCAGCCTGGGGGGTGCTGTTAAATAAACAGAAAGGATGAAACTGGAAATACCAGGTAGCTGAAAGCTTGTTCTGCCTCCTGTGTCCCCGACAGACAGCAGCCATGGGGAGCTGGCCCAGCCCACGCTGACCATCCAGACCCACCCGTACCGCAGCTGCGAGCCCGTGGAGATGTCCTACCCCCGGGGACAGTTCCAGCCTGCCATCCGAGTGGCAGACCTGCTGCAGCACATCACCCAGATGAAGAGGGGACAGGGCTACGGCTTCAAGGAGGAGTATGAGGTGAGAGGAGCCTTTCTTCACGTGACTGAGTAGGGAAGTTGCACTCATGAAGGGTAGAAACTTGGGAGAGGAGGGTAGCTGGTTTTGAGAGTTTCTTTTCCTTAATTCGCCCTCCTAATCCTTTTCTTTCTGATTTTGGTTTTGAGGACAGGGCTTTGCAGCACTATCAGTCTTTGGAGGCCCTCTATTCCAAAGTGAAGGTGTTCACTACAGCAGTAAGTGGGTGACACTGTCCCATAAAGAGCAATCAGTAAATATCCAGCAGGTGCTGAACCTGCAGTCGCACAGTCCCTTCCTTATCAGTGTTTTCCTTGAGTAGTGTGAGCCAGGCTGTGAGAAAAGGAAGGGGTTTTGCCTGAGCTTTTTGAGAGCTCCAAGTCCCCTCTCATAATTGATCACATGAAATCACAGCACAATGACCTCAATGGACAATTGTCAAGTCAAGGGCAGGTATTTGTGTAGTTAAATGGAGGTGAAATTTTCCAATATGATCAAACCTCTGGCTCAGAATAGGCTTGACTGACATTCTCTACCAATTCCATGTGAGGAGAGGAGTAAAGGCAAAGCTGGAAAAATGAAAGCTGCCCTCTTTCCCCTCACCTCTTCCCCCTGCAAGTTGAAATGACCAGGAATATAATCCACATGACCAGAAGACATGATGTTGGGGATGATTTGGAAGAGGAAAACACATTTAGAGCAGAGCAAACAGAAGAGGGAAATAGCATCAAATATATGTGAGACTCAGCTCTAGCAAGTGATAATTATAATGAATGTAGTAAGCTCGTGGGAAGGCAATAAGAAATTAATATGCATAGTGGCATTAAAACTATTTAAAAATAATGTAACAGCTGTGAAAATAAGTTCCTTAATGAAAACAGCTCACTTTTCCACCCTGCAAGTGAGAGTCCATGGGGTTTGTGTCCTGAGTGCTGAGGTTTGCTGTAATTTGGAGCCTGTCTTTTCCTGGTCCTCACCAGGGAGTGTTTTTTTAATCAGATGGAATCAAAAACTATCATAGCATATGTTTCTGGAATTGTATGTTAACCAGGTCTAGGCACTCTTGCCCCATAATCAAGCATCCTAATTAAACTATCACTATAAAGAGCTTTGTTTAATATTGAAAAAGGTTAATAATTCTCTGAGGAGATTTACTTAGCCCCCCTTGGCCTCCATTTCCATGAGGAGTACCCAAAACTGCATTGAGCTCAATTACAGATGCCCTAAGATGCAGTTCTTGATGTTCAAGAAGAAAACAGGTGCTGGCATATATGTAATTTTCTGGCACTGGCATCGGTAATTATCAAAATAGCACATTAGCATGAAAAATGTCAATGCAACTTTCAGCTCCACGAGCTCTGCCTTCCTCAAAAAGTGCTGTCTGCAGACGTGTGTAAGGATGATGACATTACACAGATTTGCATAATTCCTTTCTTTACAAGGAACGGCCTGGAGAATGCCGCAAGCTCACAAATCTCCTGTGCTGTTCCACCCTTCCATCAGCCGTAAATGCAGGCGTTTTCCACGGTGGGATTTGGCTTGGGAGCATGGGATGGAGGCAGCACTTCAGCTCCAAATAGCAGTGGGGAGTGTGTCAGGGAGCATGAGAGCTCCTGGAAGGTGGGAGGTTTGAGCTGGCTGTGAGTGAGGCTCAGCCTGGGATCTGCAGGAGCACAGAGCTGCAAAATTGGCTTTGCAAGACGCTTTGCAAAGCAGCTGATAAAATCTCAAGAAAGAATTTGATGTCTCTTTTAAAATGTGTTTTCAGACACTAATATCAGTGTCACCTCCAAATATGCTCTTTTTTTTTCTTCTAAGGAGCTGATTTTCTACTTACTTTGCAAATTGATAGCATAAATTGCAGCCTGTTTAGTGACATGTTACCAAATAATTTTACTCTCATGAAAAATCACTTTGAACGGAGCATATCAGTCACACATGACAATCTCTTATCTCTGTGCGTTCCCATCTCCGCCGAGTAACCTGGAAATTGCATTCCATATTTGTTTAAAGGATGCCTGCACCTACACGTGTGAGGACAGGCAGCTTGTTTTGCTGAAGGCATCTAGAAAAATATTCCTGGTAGCTCCAGGAGGAGCTGAGAAGCAGGATGGGATGGTGTGAGGGGTGTGAGTGCTGGGAGGACTGAGTGTTAAATGGGTGTGAACAGTGGGAGGATCTGTCAGCACTCCCTGTCCGTGTTATTTTGGGGCTGCCTGCTGCACCTGAGGGCAAAGTGGGACTTTGGGCCTTTTTGGTGCTGCTTCTGTTCAGTGGTGAAACAAGAGGAACAGAGGAGGAAATCTGTCAGCAGCGCTGGTGTAGATGGCACTGTTTGGGGTTGGGAATAGCCATAAGCATTTAAACGGGACACATTTAAATGTCACCAGCTCCTTTTCCAGAACATATCAGCTCTGATTTGTTGGGAGCTGTGGGACCAGTCCCACAGACTTATTGCAAGCACCAATTACTGGCTAAGGAGATAATAGGCTTAATTATCCAGACTCATTTTCCGTTATGATTTAGGATGTCACTAATGCACATTCTCCTGCTGCATTACTGAGACTGTTTAGTTATTTTAGTTTTTGTGGCTCCTTTCCTCAAACATCTTAGTGCTGAGAGCCTTCAGATTGTGGAATTCACCCCTGGACTTTAACCCTTTGATTTCTGCCTACACATTTGCATGTGGCCAGAAGAATAGATCTGACGGTCCGGGCTATGATGGGACACTGCAAAATGAATGGATAAGATACTTTTTTTTCAGATTATGTTTTTTAGCCCAGGTAATTTTTAATTCTGGTTCCCAGCAGATTTGTGGAAAGAGTTTTTCCAACACTGTTGAGAAGAGAATGGCTTCAGGGGGAGGACCAGGGCTCTGTGGCACACTTTGGGATGAACAGGAAGGCTTTGAATTGATGTTGTTGCCTTTGGCAGCAAAACTGCAGCATTAAGGTGGATCAGTGAAAATGAAGGATTAGATTTTTTTGTATTTAAATTAAAAGCAAACAGCAAACTAACTAAATGCATCCATCCAAAATTCAAATTGGCTTGCAGTGAGCCTCAGTTTAATGGGAACACTTCAGTTATGGCTGGGCTGTGGTGTTTAGGAAGCTTGATTGAGATGAAGCTGACTTTGAGAGATATATCCTTGTAATTTCAGCTAAAATTTAGATCAATTTAGTTTAAAAAGCTTCACTGTAACCTAAATTCCACTAGTGGGAAGAAATTTCAATATAGATTTCACAAAACTTCTCTAAGAGAAGTTTAGGGAGTTTTAGAAGTAGAAAAAGCCTAAAAATCAAGTATAGAAGTATAGTTTTTTTTTTTGAACACTTAGAGTCTTCTGTTACCAACTCAAAGAAAGAAGGGGGAGAATTTCCTGGTAAAAATGGATTAAATACCAGTGCCTGAGTGATCTGTCCTGATTTAACATTGCTGATAATGCAGATAGAAACAGGACTCTTTTCACAAGTATAGAGATACTTATTGTACCATAAAAACCTAAGGAACAAAGCATTAGCCATGCTCCTCATTTTCTGGATGCAAGCCAGTTATAATCCACATTCTTTTCTTTCTTTTCAATGTAGTTCCAATTCTTAATGTTACATTTTTTGGGATCTCATGGGCAAATTATTTGGGTTGTACATGGAGTTCCTCAGTTTGTTCATCTGATGTTTATAAAAGTGGGGATGTATGGGGTGTCCCTGCAAAGGTGGTTTGTGTTCACCACCAACCAGAGCTGTGCTCCCTCCCTTCAGAGCTGGTCAGTTCTCTGGAAAGCAGGGATTTCTGTGGTATTGAAAGAAATGAAAAATCCTGGATACTTAAATCTTTGGAGGCTCTATCAGCAAACATAAAAACATCAATTTCAGTGGAGAATTGCATGTTCAAATCAAATGAAAGGATACGGTTTGTTGAAAAGGGATTTATTGGACCTGAATATATTTTCTTTGGCCAAGATAGCTTCTCCCATGTGGAAGTCATGAGAAAGGATTTTCTTTTATTTCTTTTTCTTTTCAGATAGCTCTTATTAGGCACCTAATGACAGTTGCCATTCTCTGGTCAATCTGCTGTAATTCAATATTAGTGGAAAAATAAGGCACCTTTTTCTCGCTCTTTGAAGATGAAAATGAGCCTTCTTCACCTCTTTTCTTTCACTCAGAGGGGTTTTTTTGTTGCATGTGGGTTTCTTGGTAGGGTGTTTTTCCTCAGAAGATGAGCTGCTCTTTGGAAACAACAGTCTGCAAAGGAAATATATGTGTGATCAAAGCCCTCACCAATTACAGAGTTATTACTCTTTCTCCTGGGCTTTTGAATAGGAACTCAGCGTCCCTGTCTTTGTCGGCAGCGCTCGTGGCAGTGCTGCAGTGCCTGACATTTTCTGTCCTGGAACCCTTTGCGGGAAATTCACAGCAATCTGCTCTGCCAGGGGTTTGCTCACATTAAGTTTAATTGTAACGCCAGTGTTGTAGATCCTAATTGTGTCTCTCTGCTATTGCACTCAGGCACATAATAGACCTGGGTGGCTTCTGAAGATGAACATAAATTCATTTTGTAGCACAGCTGTGTCAAACTACCCGCTGCTGGCTGAGGCAGATGTGATTCTACAACGACTGTGGTTTAAACCCTCTGTAATTCCCCAGGGACAGAAGTAATAAAACTTCCAATGATGATTTTAGTGATGTAGAATCCTGTTAGGGGTACATCTGGGAGGAGGCAGAACTGGGGAGGCAGTTCAGGAGGGGCTGCTCTCTTCACCCATGTTTTTTCCAAGAAAGGCAGGACCATCCTCCAACTGCTGCTTTCCGGGCTCTGCCTTGAAAATCCCTCCTGGACATGTCTCTAGGATAAAGTGGCTCATGTGAATAGTTGTAGGGCTGAGCTGCTGGGAGGGTGGCACTGTGTGCTGCCAGCTCCTTTCTCTCTTCCTTCCTCATCTGAAAGAGCAGATTTTAGGAAAATGGCTGTTTATTCTCATGCTTCATGAGCATGCTTTACATTGTTTTTCCTCTCTTTTTTATACATGATCTAAAACCCTGAGCTGCTTTATCTTTCCCCAGAGAAATCCAGTGAATGGCTTGTATTGCATCACCCATTATTAACACAGAAATAGATGAAACCACTCTATTTTCAGCTTAAATATGAAAGGCTGAGCACTGGGTTTCAACCACTGGGTTTTATTAGAGGTGTAGTCAAGTGAAATCTCCCCAAGTCCCATTCTACAGGGGAAATTAGGTTAACCTGTGATTGTGCAGCCAGAAACAAATTCCCCTGATCATTTCAGATGCGAAGTAGCAGGAGGAAAACGAGTCTTGGCTGGCAGAAGGCAAGAGATGCAAATGGTCTGCACAAGCTCTGCTTTTCCCATTAGTGGAGGTGCCCTGTCCTCACCAACACTGTTTCCTTGGTCAGCTACTGAATTATGCAGCTCCTTTATTTTTGCCCTGCTCTTCTTCTTTAGGCCTCTTCCCCACCTGAAGGCATTGGCCAGATGTTTTAAACCCTCCTTTATTGTTTATTTTGCAGGCACTTCCCGAGGGGCAGACGGCGTCCTGGGATACAGCCAAGGAAGATGAGAACCGCAACAAGAACAGATATGGAAACATAATCTCCTGTAGGTGTAAATTCACATTAAACTGAGCATCCTGTGGCACCTGTGTGCTGTGGGGAAGGGTGTGTTTGAGAAGCTCACCAGGAGCTGGCGAGCAGTACTGTGTTCAGTCCATTTGTTACAGTCTTTATTCCTGGGATTTATCTTATTTCATGTTTTTTTTGATCCTTATTTTTCATAACATCATTGCCTGATGTTACACATTTTCTACTTGCCTTGCTTTCTGCTTTAGGTTTGTGGCTCAAGGGCTAAATCCTTTTGTCACTTTTTATGTGATGATGTCCATTTTCGGTCTATTTTTACTACAAACCCAGAGCTTCCAGTGCCACAAAAGAGAGCACTAAGGAGCTGCAGATAGATCAGATTTTTAGCTGTTGCTCAGAGGCCAGCTCTCTTTCCTTGTGGTCAGCAGCCAGTGGAGCAGTCACTGCTCGTCCCTAGAGGGCTGGTTTGAAGGCTGGGACAAGCTTAACTTCTGCCTCAACATCATAATAAGGCAACTGAAAATGCACTAAAACTTCTTGGCTTACTTCTTTCCGTGATCAGTTCCTGTTGATGCTACAGGAATATCAATATGTAGCAGAACTGCAGGGCAGGGAAGAGTCCATAAAACCATTTAGGTCAGCTTTATTCTTCAAAGCAAGACTAAATTCACCTTCCTCATTTTTGTCAGATATTTGTGAAGCCTCTTCCAAAGTTGCTCTCCAAAGCTGAGCTTTCCACAAGCTCTGCAGGCAGTTCACCAGTGTTTCATTATTCCTGATAATGACTGGGGAGAGGAGGTATCAGAATTAATTCTTTTCAAGGGCTGCTGAGCTGAATCAAGTTGGAGAAGCCAGGCTTGAAACCATCAGAACAAGAAATCAGAATATAAATGAATGTGCCATAGATTTTCATGACTGGAAAAATCTATAGAATGGTCTAAGAGCAAAATTAAGTCACGCTGAGTGATATATTTCATACTACATTTTTTCTTGGGTTAAAAATGTATTTCTTGTATAACAAATAGATTTTACTAAAAAAACAAGTTAAAACTACAAAAACAAAACAAAACAAACAAAAAAAACAAAAACAAAAACAAAAAACAAAAAAAAAACCCAAAAAACCACCAAAACAACAACAACTAACCCAAAAACCCAACTTCTTCATAAAGAAACCTCACCTCACACAACACTACTCCTCTCTTTGAGCCTTGAGATAAGTGATTCATGTGCCATTTTTGGGGAATGATGTAGGACATCTCAATTCAGGGGCCCATGGTAAAGATGAAGGAATCTGGAAATAAAGATTGAAATTTGTGAGCCCTGATGTGATCCCAGTTCTACTGCTGGCTTGGTGTGGTTGTGAGCAGGTCACCAAGTTCACCAGTGTTCTTTATCCATGTGGAAAATGGAAGTGACAGTTCTGGAATATTACAATTAGCATGGAAGTTGTCTCCCTTAATTTCAGCTCCACCTCACCACGAGCTTTCTGTGTCCCAGTGGCAAAGAGAGATGTCCAGACAGAGGCTCTATTCACCTGTCTATACAATCAACTCCAATTAAATGAGTCTAAGACAGATGAATTATCCAGCTGTAGACGCTGGATTGAAAGTGGAAGTGCTGTGGTATGATATGAGGAAGGAAATGTAAAGGCTTTGTTTCTCTGTATGATTTTGAGGAGGCAGTTGGTATAATTCAAAAGAGGAGGTGAAAAGAGGCAAAACTGTGCAAAAGCTTCCATCTCATTTATGTTGAAGGTGGCCATGAAGAAAACCTTGAACTCCAAGTGAAGTGTGAGAAGTTCAAGAAGCAAAATCAAGGAAGATAAATGGGATGTTATCTAAAGAGAAGGTGTTCACAAAGACAAATTGTTGTCTAACGAAGAGTGACGCGAGCCTTTTAGCTCTAAATATAAATACAGCAGCCGTGCAGATAGGAGGTGATGAACTTGAATAAGGGAATGCAAAATGTAATCAGAGCTAAAGAACAAGAGTCTGCATGGTGTAGAGTGTCAGAAAAGAAGCTCAAGTTTGAGGACTGTTGGGAAAGGTTTGGGAATTGGGCTGAGAGGGTGGAGTGGCCTTTCTTCTCTTCAAATATTTATCAGAACAAAGAGTTTGAGAAGGAGACAAGGGCTCTTTTAAAAGACAGCAAGGAGAATTTAGAAATATTGAGAAGGCTTGGAAGAGAGAAGAAAAGAAGGCTGCCTAAGGAAGGAGTATATCATTCATCTGATATGTTGTAAAACCATTGCAAAGTTATCAGTTGAGCCTGGAGCTGAGCCTGGTGGGCGAGTTGGGCAAGCTCTCTGAGTAAAGCCAGGGGCAGGAGCCAGAGCAGAGGATGGAGAGCAGAGCTGAGAATAGCAGGGCAGTGGTTCCTTCCAGGCAGGTCATGGAAACAAATTGTGCTCGGTTGGTACAAACTGAGCAGAGGAGGTGGAGCACAGTAATACCCTGAGCTGTTTTGTTGTACTTCAGTTGTAGTGGCTGGTGAAGCCCAGAGCAGGCACTGGTTGCCCCTACCAGTTTATTTGGTAAAAGGCTGCACATGGCAATCAACATTATATATTTAACCATTTCATCCCACCAGAACAACAAATCCCCTGCCTTTTGGGGCGTGAATTGGAAAGTCAGGTTTTGATCTGACTTCTGCAGCGGCTTCAGAGACTGGTGTTAAAATGTGGGTTTGTAAGCTCCTGCAATGAGTAGCATTGCTCAGTGAATCACAGCAGATTAGATCTTGTCTTTACAGCCTCATGGGTAACAGCACAGTTACAGGACTGTTTTACTGGCTCACTGCTCTCCCAGAGCTGCATTAACATCGTGCCTCTCTCTGAAAACCTGGATCACACTGCCAGCCCCAACACCTGCTCTTCATTTGCAAACCAAAGCTGCAGACCAGCCTGAGAGCTGATCTGTTCATGCAGAGGAGGGGCAGGAGAACTCAAAGAGCTCTCCCAGCTTTCCATCATTCCCTCCCATCTGTAACAGTTTTTGGAGCAAGGGAAGGAAAAGCTGAGCAGTGGATATGGGGTCTGCATGCCCACAGAAATCCACTGTGGATGGTGGGAAGTTGCAGACAGACTTACCATGCTGAAGGAAACTGTCCTGCTTGAACCTTTTATTATATGAACAGAGCCCATGAACTTTGCTCCTGCACTTTTATGAAAGCTGTAAAAAAAAAGGCAGTTGTGGAGATGCCAGGATTTTCTTTAGGGGACAAGCGTAGGCAGTGTACCCATTTATGTGCTGAAGCAAAATGATTTAATTCTGCTTTAGGGCCCAGATATTGAGACCTTCAAAGAGCATCAGAAAGTGATTGTTGGGCAAGGGATGTTGAGCTGAATCTATTACAAGAGAAGACAAAATGTCCAGAAGCTATATGGGACCTTTGTTCTATTTGATTTCTCTCCACCTTGCCCAGATTTAGAGACATTACATTATGGGAGAATAAAAATTCTCAGATGAGAGCTGAGGATGAGAAGAGATAGGATGGTGTATTGCTTCAGCTGATGGAGAGAACTTTCTGTGCCTTTCATTTTTCCCTGCATTTGAAGTCTCATGATGGTCCACTAAAAACTTCGGAGCTGGTGACAAAAAAGACAGTGGAGAAATTTGCTTTATTTCCTTCATGCTCTGAGTGCCATATGCTTTGGGTTGGAAAACTGTGAATTAATCAGAGAATTTTGGAGTGAAAGAGATGAAGAAGCTTTCAGCTGGCACACAGGTGGAGAGCACTTCTTGCCCACCGACAGAGATAAGGCATGAAATAAAAAACCTACATAGAATTCCAGACTGGTTTGGGTTGGAAGGGACCTTAGTGCCATCCAGTCCCACTCCTGCATTGGCAGGAACACCTTCCACTGTCCCAGGTTGCTCCAAGCCCCATCCAGCCTGGCCTTGGACACTTCCAGGCACAGCTTGTGCCAGTGCCTGACATCAGTATTGGATTTAGAACAGAAATCTTTAATTTCCAAGCATTTTTATTCCATTATTTTTTCTGTAGTGCCTAAACTCTTGCACATCTTTGTGATATCCATGGAATTTATGTGATATCCATGGAATTTGATGCTGACAGGGTGGGGTTTATCCCACCTGGATGTTACCCAGCTCTCATGGCACACTCCAGGGTCAGTGGGGACAGAAAGGGGAGCACAGAGTGAGGATAAATCACCGTTTTGTCCCAGAACTGAATCTGCAGAGCTGCCTGTGTTTCTCCTTTCCTGTGTGGGGAACCCTGACAGGCAGTTTAGACGAGCTGTGTAATGTTTCAATGGCGAAAGTTGTGTGAGATTAATCCAGTGCTGGTGTCAAAATGAGACGTGGAGAAATTGCAATGATACTTCAAATGATCACTAATGGGAATTTTGACAGCAGTTTAAAACGGTAACAATTTTGTGCTAAAATGGGAGCACAGAGCTTTTCAGTGAAATTCTTGTCATTTTTGAAGTCTGTTTTAAGACCAATTTTCAGTCAAACTACTCTTCCTATAAATTTAGAGTTCTGCTAACTAGCAGAAGGAGTGGAGTAAGCAGGGAGAAATAAAACCATTTACACATTTGGTTTTTTCTATTTTGTTGTGGTCCTGAATGCAACTTTTTTTTTTTTTTTTGCTTACCCTTCATTCTTAATGTTTCTTAGAATCCATTTTCAACACACAGGGATATGATCTCTGATAAATTTAATGAAGAGTTGAACAACACTTTCATTTCAGTCTGCCAAGAATTCTGTGTCCTTGGCTAGAGGAGTCCAGAGGAAAAAGAGAAGAATCAGAAATAAGTTTTAACCATTGGGAGAAGAGATAATAAATGCATTTGCTGTTCTTTAAATAGCTCTGTGAAGTCTGTAGGCAAAAAAATCCTAAGTACAAGATCCTTACTACTAAGAGCATAAAAATTTGCCTTTTTTTTTTTTTTTTCAAATCCCAAAGTTTTTTTGCAGAAAAAAGAGATTTACAAGGGAACTTATTTTATGAACTTTTATCCTGACTGTTCTCCTAAACTTTGGAACAAGGTTAAAGAAACCATTAAGACATCATTAATATTTTGTGCGCTTCACATATACACAGTTTTTTTTTCTGCTGCACTGTTCTCACTTGTAAGAGCAATAAATCTCCCTCAGGAATTAATCTCATTTTAGTAAAATACGCAATGAAATATTTTGAATTCTGTCTTCTGAAAGCAAAGTTCAGCTTAAAGCATTTTTCATTTGGCCCTAAAATATTATTAGAACTGAATATGTCCTTTTAAAAACAAAAACAAAACAAAACAAAACAAAACAAAACAAAAAAAAAAATCTGAAAGCAAAGTTCAGCTTAAAGCATTTTTCATTTGGCCCTAAAATATTATTAGAACTGAATGTCTCCTTTTAAAAACAAAAACAAAACAAACAAAAAAAAAAAAAAAGGAAAAACAAAAAAAATTAGCATTAATCTTCAGATAAATTTCTTCATTTTATGTTTTATTTTCCCATATTTGACTTTTTTTTAAAAAAGGGGGAATAGGAAAACAAACAAACAACACTTTTTTTGCACTTACAGATTATCATTTCCTTAGCCATAATTATCCATAATTGCCTGAAATCATGGAGTTGCTCTCAGCCTGCTTCCCAGGTCTTCCCCATTCAGCTCCCTCTGGATGTATTTCATCCTGCCTGCTGTAACTTTCTGTCCTAAGAGTGGCTCAATGTGCTGAAACTTAATTTTGATGTTTGGCTCCATTAAATGAAGGGAGGCAGGTGCTTCCTCCAGGGTTCTTCAGAGCGCTCCAGCTGCAGACATTGTCTGTGTCCCTCATTAAAAAATGAACCTGAAATCCTTTTCTCCTCTTATTGGGGGCATTTTTGGTCTCATCATTTTTGGTCTCATCATTTTTGGTCTCATCATTTTTGGTTCTGTTGTTGAAATGAGTTGAGACTTCCACAGTGGTGCTCTCTTGGGAGGAGTCAGTAAATGTTCCCCTCCCAGGCGTTTGCTCCAGGGTTTGCTTTTTCTTTGCTTTTGTTCCATGTGGCTCCTAACAAGTTTAGTTTGCTGCCTGGAATTGCAAGTGTGAAATTGTCTGCGGGAGTTTCCCTGTATTTCACCCGCATGTCCGGTTTAATCAGCTCTTTGTCTGTCTGTGTGAATTGCTCCGAGTATAAATTCTTTTGTTGTCTCTCTAACCACATGATTTACTGCGACTCCTCGTGCAGCTGCCTTGAGTGCAGGTAATTGGGAACATCAGCACTCTGAGAAATATTCCCCCTTCCCTGTGTCTACAAAGGTTATATTTATTAATACAAATATAGCAGAGTTTTTGATGGATTCACCTGCAGAACCTTCTATGAATGCAGATATGGGATGTGATAAACACAGCAATGTGGTTGTGGGTTTTTTAGGTGTGTAAATCTCACCTGATGGTTGAACAGAGTAGAATCATTCCTTTACATGGCCAAATGAATATTTAATATATGTCCAAGTCTTGGTTTTCAGAACTGCCCGCACATCTGTCTTCACAATTATTATCTGATTCTACATTTAATTAAGACATGACTAAACCTCTTTTGTCTGAGGTACTGCAGAATCACACCTCATATTTTTATGTTTCATTGCTATGATTCTTTTTAATTGAATGTAAATCATGCTCAGGCCTGTGTTCTGCAAAGTGCTGCTAAACATTAATGCTGCTCTGACTGAGAGCTATGCTCCATAGAGCTGGTAGGGAGGAAATAAACTTAATGGACTCGATATTATACTTCTTTTAAAAAATCATTTAAAAATGAGCACAGCATGGCCAGCAGTGACCCCCATAACCCAGTAGCCTCTGCCAAGCAACTGGCCCTTAGAAGCAGCTCTGCAATTAACTGCATACCAGTGCTGGGATTGCCAGAGCAAATCACATCAGCAGCCTGGCTCTGGAGTATCTCCTGTGACAGAGCCCAGCACCAGCTGTTCCACAGAAAGATCAAAATATTCCCCTGGTGGAAAATCATGACATAATCTGCCCGCTGGGGTAGTTCCTTTCTGCGTCTGAACTGTGGAGCATGCTGGGAGATGAAAAGATTGATCTCTGCTATTTTATTGCCTTATCTAAAGTAACTTTGAATCTCCTCAAAAAGATGAACATTTCTGATTTTGTTGGTTTTTTCCAGCACTGCCTCAATGCTATTTTGCTGCTGTGGGTTGCATAAAGGAATGTTGCTCTGATTTAATTTGTATTTCCTTCCAGGTTCTGGGTTTTTCCATTTCTTATTTGCAGGGTTTCACTGCTATTTTACCCCCCTTAATCTTTTATATCTCTGTCATGATCTATTTAATTATGTCCTGGTCTTGTCAGTTTTAGCTCTTGCTTCAGTTTCCATAGATCAGATGAAGCCAAGGGACTTTGGAGCTTCCAAGCAGGAAAATGGTTTTTCCCATGGAGATACACCTTGCAAAGGTCTGTCCCAAACCTCCCAAACCAGGTGACATTTGTGACCTGTCTCAAATCTCCATAAGGATTATAATGACAGCAATGAATTTAATGAATACAGAGCATGACTAACTTAAGGATCTAAACATCACATCTTTGACACAAAACAAAGGGCTTTTAGCAACAGGAATACATGTGATGCTATTCCATTTTTGATTACTGTAATAATTCAATTATTCAAGTACCTTGGTGGGATTCTTGAGGCCAGGAGTTGCCCTTTGTGTGTCCCTTTCAGCTCAGGGCATTCCATAATTCCACAATGCCATCCTTGCAGGAGCCAAGAGATACAGCAGGCCACTTAGAAACTCCTCTTTATCGTTACTGTCACTTTTTTTCCTTTCCTTCCTTCAGATGATCACTCAAGAGTGAGACTGCAGCTGCTGGATGGGGACCCTCACTCTGACTACATCAACGCCAATTACATCGACGTAAGCTCCTGGACATCCCCCCTGTGACAAACCCACCTGTGACAAGCCTGCTCATGAATTTGGTGCCTCTGACACAGGGACAGGCTGTGGATCTGATATGAGTGACAGTGAACATTGTACAAACGTCGTGTTGTGACAGGGAGAAGGTTCTCAGTCTCCAGTTTATTTTGTCTGACCAATCTGGGCAGATGGAGATTTCCTGTGTTTGACAGATCCAGCAGCATAAGTGGGACGTGGGCTAGATGATGGATGCCCAAATCAATATCAGCCCCTCACAATAGCATTAGTTGATATCAGAGACTTGCCAACTACTCACAAAGTTGTGGTGCAGAAGGCATGTATGTAAACAGATTGACTTTTTTTAAAGTGTTCTAAAATGACATTGGAAAAGCAGCCTCTGTCTCACACACAGTGATCCAATCTACGTGCATTTATTGAATGCAGCTCTTAAGTCACAGCAACAGGAAATGTTTGGAATAGTTTCTTGAAAGGATGAAAGATGCCCTCAGAATTTTCACAGAGACAAATTCATACCTTTCTTCTTTTCAAACAAGAAGATGCAGTGTTTTGCCTATCTGTTTCCAGTGTTACCCTCAGGTAACACAGGATTTGTCTTTCTTTGTGGAAATAGTTTAAAAGTGCCCCATTCCTGTCTTATGGAAATAGTTTAAAAGTGCCCCATTCCTGTCTTATCTTTGGCATGAAGAGATTGTGTTATTCAGCCTGAGGGAGATGCCCTCACTTAAAGTCTCTCAGGACAGTCCAGTTGCCCATTCATTCATTCATTCATTCATTCCATAACCAGTTGATTACAATACATTACATAATTATACACTGTCCAGAGGGGCAGCAGTTGGCACCTGGAAAGTATCAAATCCCTGGTGGGCTTTGTCTGAGCTGTGATTTCACAGACACTCATCTATTTTCTTTTTTTTTCCAGGGGTACCATCGGCCTCGCCATTACATTGCAACTCAAGGCAAGTTCACTCTTGTATGTCTAAATATTTGTAAAACCACTGCTGGTTTACACTGTTGTAGGAGCTTTTTATGGGGTGACATCATCTCTTTTGGGAAACATCTGAAAATTTGTTATATGGGTATCACTGAAGGGGTACTGGGGACAGACAAAGGTGATACAGAGACTCCATCATCAGAAGGCATGAAAAGGCACTTTATTATTAGAATTTCACAGTTCTTATAGAAACAATGGTGGACCTAAGACCTGATTGGCCTTAAGGAATCTTCCCTCACCTATTGGTCAAGATGGGACAGCTCCTACTTGTAAACATCTTTGACAAACAGGGATTGCCTGCCAGGTGCAGAGATTGAGATAGTAACTATTTTAATTCTTTCCCTGAGCTTTCTCACAGCTTCCCAGGAAAATCCTGGGAGAGCTGTGTCTCTCTCTGCTCAGAGTATATCTGATATGAATCTTCCAAGATCTTTAAAATACTTAAAACCTCAGCTGCAGGAATAGAAAATGCCACAGACTCAGAGGTGGCAGCACAGCCTAGAATGTTTCATTTGTGCATGAAGTGTGAGAGGACAACTACAGGGGACTTTGTGGGTCTTGGGTTTACCCTGCTTGAGGAGGGCAGTGTGGATAATCTGTGACTGATGAGCCTTTGAGGGGAGCTAGTAAGAAATGCATTTGAACACCACCTTCTGTAAGTCACTTGGAGAGTTTCCTGTAAGAAAGGAAATAAGGTCAGGGAGAGGCTCTACACTGACAAACCTCTTGTGGGCACTGGCTGGTTGGTTATTGGAACCTGACATTTTTTTAGGGGAAGCTTCAGGAAAGAGCTAATTTCTGCATGTTTCCTTCCTCCTTCATAATTAATCAGTGTTGAACTGTGAAATGGTGTGCTGCATCAGGTGTGAATTACAGCACAGCCTTAATATAAGTTCAGTGTGGGGTACATCCTTGTCCCATCACTCATACAGAGTTTCCTACTGGAGCCATCACTTCTGTTGCCACCATGCTGGAACCTTAAATACCTGCTGGGAGGAAGGGTCTGACCTTCCAGAGAGCTCCAGGCTGTTGGTGTCTGTAACCCTGAACGGCAGAGGGATGCTCTGAGAGACAGCAGGATCCTGTGGGAACAGGACAATGGCTGGAGAACAGCTGGAAGGGGTTATTGGCATTCCATGCACTATCTTGAGATGTCTTTTTTGTCTTCTCTCCTGCCCCAGGGCCGATGCAAGAGACAGTGAAGGATTTCTGGAGAATGATTTGGCAAGAAAACTCTGCAAGTGTTGTCATGGTCACCAACCTGGTGGAAGTGGGCAGGGTAAGGTGCCACTCCCAACGTGTAAAGTCAGACCAGGGCTGGGTTTAACACAGAGCTGCTGCTCAGGAGAGCTCAGCAGCAAAATGCTTTTTGTTTCTTGCAGGAAGGGAATTAATTCAGCCACACTGACTTATTATATAAAATGCTGGATTTTGTAATACTTAGCTTCTTCCCTTCTAGACTAATAGGGATGGTGTTCCTGCTGTAAGTCTGGGCTTTGGCAGAGTTATACACATTTATGCTAGCTCAGAAGCTGTCTCCTTCCACAGTACAGAAATCAAAATATACTTCTGTTATTCCTTATCTGATGATTTGAATACTCCTCTAAAAATCCAGAGGAGTGGGGACACGTGACTGGTGCTCCAACTACCAAAAGACCTCTTTGCATGAGAGTCCAGAGCCTGGAGTTCCTGAGGTCACTGTTCCTAGGGGTTGAGGTTTTTGTGGATCCTGGGACCACCCAGCAGTGCTGGCCTCCTAAACAGCAAGCAATTCCCTCTCCTGGACTGACCTGGACCAGACATCCCTGTGTCAGCACAAGGCAATTCCCAATGGGACCAAACATGGATGAATCAAAAGGTGTAGGCTGGACCTCAGGAAATGAGAAGGCAGAATGTCTGGAGTGGCTTTTCCCAGAATGGTTTTTGTGTTAGAGATGTTCTCAGCCAGAAACCAGAGTTCTTAAAAAATTTTGTCCTGATGTTTGTCACTTTCCATTGCTTTGGTATTAAGAAAAATTTAAATTGTCGTTTACTCAGAGCCATTAGTAATTCAGCTGCTTTGTGTTTGATTTCCCTTAGATCTCATGGGTGAATGCCAGCTGCTTCTGTTCATTTATTACTGTTTATTCTATTTTACCTTCTACTGACACTTCAGTTCCAAATAAGTGCCTCTGTGTAAAAGACAAAAAAATCCAAACAACAAAAAACCCACAACAAACCTACATTAATCATATTTAATATTTATAAAACCCCTTTCAATTGTGACTGGAACTGGAACATGAAGCCTGCTTTGCTGCAGCTAATTGCTTCAGCTTTAGGTATTGTTCCACTCTTCATGCTAGAGCATTTAATAACCTGATAGTCTTCGTTAGCCTAAATATCCCTTCTGGAGCTTCACAGCCTTGCTTTTATTTCTTTTGGTGATTTTGCACATGGCTCCTAGAACTGGCTAAGCTGGCATATGCTTACCTGCTCAGGAGATTTCTCTCTTGAGCCTTAGCTGAAGCCTGTCACAGCTGGTAAAATGCAAATTTTGTGTCCACATCTGATAAAGAAAGCTCAGAGTCAAACAAATTTAGTGTCTCAACATGTATCCCACAATCCCCATGAACTGAAATTCTTTGGCTAAACAGAGAGAGTTGAGAATTACAGGAGCAGTAGCAAAGATTTTTTTTCTCAAAAGGGATGGTGGTGGTGACTGTCAGGTGTTCTGTAGAAGATTTTTTTTTTTAAAATCTAAATGCATCCTTTGCATTTGTATGGACAACAAAGGGAACTTTAGAAAAGTCATGCCTGTGGTTTCTATGGATGGTAAAGGAATTTTGATCTAATTTATACAGTTAATTTTGGCAACTCTGCACATCAGAAGAAAGCCCAATTTTCATTGGCTTCAGCTTGAAAGTGGAGGAAAATGTAGGTCAGCTCTGACTCAACCTGAACTAGTTCCTCTCAATATTTTCCTTTTGCCCCCAGGTGAAGTGTGTTCGATACTGGCCAGATGACACAGAAGTCTATGGAGACATTAAAGTCACATTAATTGAGACAGAGCCATTGGCAGAGTATGTCATACGTACCTTCACTGTGCAAAAGGTAAGGAGGTCTTCAGGCAGATGAGACTGTGACACACTTCATTTGTGTTCAGAAACTCTGGGAAACACATCCAGAATGCTCTTGGAGATGGGAGCTGTGCTATTTGGACAGGCTTCACTTCAGCAAACTAAATTTTTGACAGGGATTCCATTTTTGGACAAATGATTTTACAGGAACATCTTGATGTAGCCACGAAAGTAGAATCCACAGTGCATAAAGTTTAACTGCATCCAAAAGGCAGCAGATAGCTGATGGTATGCCAGGAATAATAACTGCCTTGTTTCACAGTGGCAAATGGCAGAGGAAAAAAGGTACCTCTCAAACTGGATGCCAGATAGGGTCCCTTTTCATCAGAAATGAGACTATAATAAGAACAAGAGTATAAAAACTATCCCCAAACCAGCAGGATTTGGAAGATTTTTTTACTTGTAATTAGAAATTGGAAGTCTAAGTGTCAGAGTATTCCAGGTCTGTCCAAATTACTTTCCAAACACTCAGTAAGTGGTTTTACAGCTTTTCCAAAATTCCTACTCAATGAACTTCAGCCACACTGGGAATATTGTTTCAGTTTTCTGATACATCAGTTCCATATTTCATTAAATCATTGAAAAACTTGGTGAGAAATGCTAATGCCAAAATCTGACAGGCTAGAGGAGCTGCTGCTGGATTCCACACACATTTTGTGTACAATAAAACACAGCTGACCCAGGGTTCTGGGTTACTCTTTGCAGGGCTGATAAAGGTGTGATTTTCACATGCCAACAACTTGCTCTCCCCAGAAAAGATGGTACTGGCTACCAATTCCTGCCCTTTTCACTGCCAGCAGCATCTCAAACTGAGGATTTTTGGCAGGAGGTAGCAAAAAATCTGCTGTTTCCTGGGGCATGCCCACTCTTGGCATGTTCATTCCCCAGGCTCTTGCTTCAATGGGTCAAAGAGGATTTAAGAATGAATTTTTGGTGGTTTATGGCTGTGGGTAAACACAGCCATGGAGTGCTAGGGCTGAGGACACTGTGATGGGGTGGGTATGAGATCTGAGACCACAGGTTGGAGCTGGAAGCCTGCACCCACATTCCCAGCCCTCAGGTGAGTGTTACCCACTTCACTGGGAACTGGAATTTGGCTGAAAATATTTTTAGAGTGAACAGCAGCTTGAGACACGTTTGCACGCATAGTGAGAGCTCAGTGCTTGTCATCCCTCTGCATGAGGGAAGGCAGCAGAGAGCAGAATATGCTGATTGGAGTCTGATGGAAGAGAAATAGAGGCTGTGTTGTCTCCTCAGAAAGGCTACCATGAGATCCGAGAGATTCGGCAGTTCCACTTCACCAGCTGGCCGGACCACGGAGTGCCCTGCTACGCCACGGGGCTCCTGGGCTTCGTCCGCCAGGTGAAGTTCCTCAACCCCCCCGAGGCAGGACCCATCGTGGTGCACTGCAGGTAGGCCAGCTCTCCACCTGAGCCTCTCTTCCAGCAGCTTTTCCCTCTTTTCTTCTCGCCTGGCAATACCCAGCAGCTGTTTCAGGGTATCATTTGTGGGCCTTGCTGAAGCACGGATAAATGACTCTTCAACTAATTAAAGTTGAATAATAAAAGAGGGTTTATTTATTACAGCTCTGGACACATGCAGAGTAATTTCCAAAGGCATGTGCAAGGAGTCACAGGCTCCTGCTCTCTATTTTTCCAAATAAAAAGTATTTGGAAAATATTTTCCAAATGTCACTGTTTATAAGAAATGGTGCAGAGCTATCAGAAGGTTAGGTGGCACAAGCATGTATCTTTACTCTGAACCACTTCTTTTATACACTGATCAATACAGGTGGACCTGATTGGTCATTTAATCAATGCATTTCACCTGATTGGCTAATTAACAAGATGCCCATTTATAAACAATCTTATGAGAATAACAAGAAAACAGATATTAGGAAAACAACACCTGCAGGTTGTTTTTAATAATTGGCTATCATTCTTTATCTCCAGCTCACTAAAATCTCCCAGGCCAGTTCTGGGAAAACTTATCTACTTTTCTTGCTCTCTGACCAGGTTGTCACATCCACAGTTTTATATATTCAGATGGTTTCCAGGATGCCTAATACATAATCATTAACTGTCTGGCTTTGTATTATAATTAGCTGAATGTCCATTAGGGCTGCGCAATTGTCCTCTTTAATTGGGATGATGGGCTCTGAAATGGGTCAGTGGGTTCTTTGAAGAGGAAGTAAGGCCTCTTCCTCATGTAAACTCTTCACCTGTTTCAAGCTGGCAGGGCTTCTTGACTTGCTGGTCACAGTCCAAACCTCCTCTCACTCTCAGAAGCCAGTGGTATTTATGGCTCCTGCACTCTTAAAATACTTCATGTATCACTTGTCATTCCTAACCTTGTTTCAGTTATCCCCACCTGGTATAAATTAATTTCCTTGTTAAACTCTAATCACAATGTATGATCTTTGCTAACTGCATTTCTGACTTAACCCCTTGATTCATTTCAGCTCTTAATTAAAATATATTGTTTTCACTATCTTAGTTGCATTAGTAGCTCAGCCCCTTGACTCCTTGCCAGGAAACAAATGTTTTTCTTTCCTAAAGTGGCAGATCTGGAACCAAGCTGGCATGAGTTGGAGATGCCATGATGGGAGTCAGAGAGGGCCTTTCACTTGTAGAAGACCCCACAGTGATCTGTGCTCTGTTGGATGCTCATAGCAGAGCTGGGGAAGTGGTGAATATCTGGGAGAGCCACTCCAGCCCTTAAACCTCATATGGCAGATTAGACAATGCCAGCACAAAGACAGGGAATTTTAAAGCTTCGCTTCTCTGTACCCCCATGTGCTGCAGCTCAGCTTTGTGCCAGCATTAAAGGCCTCACCTGGTCTGGTGGAAAATGTCTCTGCCCACAGCAGGGGAGTTGGAACTCCCAACCACCTTTAAGCTCCATTCCAACACAGACCATTCTATGATTTTATGTTTTTATGGTCTAAAATATATGTCTGGCTGAGTTTGGCTGACAGCCCTTGGGCATCTTGGCTTCCTGAAAGCCCAGGAGTTGGGTGAGAATCTCAGATTAAAAACTTCCAGCTAGCAAAATTCCAGTGACTTCCAGCTGGCAAATAAAAGGAGTTAAATTACTTCACATGCAAGGAAAGGCATTGCTGCAAAACCAGAGTTTGGGTTTGTAGAAGCAGCTGTGTCTGCAGGGCTCAGGGCATGTGAGAGCTAAAGAATATGTAGCTTGAGCACAAGGCTAGAGAGCAGAGCTGGCTGTCCCAAAATCTCACCCCTAATCCAGCCACAAGGAATTGTTTCTAGTTCCCACTCTATGTCTTGAGAAAGAGAGAGAAAATACATCCCACAACTACTAAGCAGTTTTGGATTGGGTGGCTGTTTTGTTTTGTTGTTTGTTTTTGTTTTGTTTTGTTTTTCTTAAGCTGCAGTGAGTCAGCTTTATAATTAAGTAAAGCTAAGCCTGAGGAGTTGGCAGAAGAGGTTTCATTTACAGCTGGGGGCCTGAGTTTGCTGCTTTAGTTCCATGGTATGGGGCTGGCCCTGGAAGGTGTCTGAACCTGACTCGTTGTCACCAAGAAAGCAAGGAGAGATTTTTCATCCTTCCCATTTTAATGAATAAATGCCATTTCCTCTACTTTATTTATCTGCTTTTGAATTTTAATGACTTGCTTTAAGTGGTAATTACCAAATTCTCCCCCACTGATGCCTGGCTGGATAATATCACTGTTCGATATTTATGAAGTGCCAGGATCCTCTAAATATAGAACTGTTAAAACTATTTGTTAAAATTCTGAAAAGCTGAGAGATAAAGGGAGAGGAAATGCCACTTATTCATTAAAATTCTGCAAATGAAAAATCTCTTCTCACTATGCAGCAGCTGATTAATCTGGTCCATTAATTTATGGTCATTCATATCTCCTTGCTTTCGGCTCTGGTGGAGTTTTCAGTGCAGCTGAAGTTTCCCTGGTCTGAGCAGAGTTCTGCTTCCTTCAGAGTAATGTGAAGAGACATTCTCCTCTCTCCATCCTTCACACCTAAGCAGCTTGGATGATTTTCCAGAGGGGAAGGAGGACACGATGACCACACAGTTTTGCAGGAGATGGCCCAATTCTCACAAGCAGTGGGGAGCTCTGAACTGAAGGGTTCAAGTAGCCTCGAGCTCCTTTCTCTGTGACTTACAATCCATAACTTCAAATCACCCTCCTCAGGATCCAAACTCCTCTGGATTCCAAAGGGAAAAGAAGTGTTTGAGGTGGAGGACTGAGCTCCTTTCGTCATGCCCACTGGAGTAAATGCATGCATATGCCTTCTACAGAGTCCTAGGGAAGAAAATGTTTGGAATTGTGTCTGTTTGCAACCCAGAGGCTGCTCTCCTCTCTGTGATGAGAAGTGTGCAGGTGACCTGACCTGTAAAATTATAATGAATATTTTTGCAATATTTCGTTGGTATTCAATAACAGAAAGCTTTTGTTTCTGCTTCCCTTTCAAGAATACTATTTCCCCTCATTCTCTTAAATCCTACAACAGAAAAATGAATCCAGCAGGGAGCGGGAGCAGCTCCCAGGCGGAGACAGTGGTGCGTGTGCTGCTGTTATTCTCTCCTCCACAGAGCCCTGTCTCTCCACAGCCCCTTGGTCACACAGATCCTCCTGTTCTTTTCTCTTCCAGCGCTGGGGCCGGGAGGACAGGGTGCTTCATTGCCATTGACATCATGCTGGACATGGCAGAGAACGAGGGCGTGGTGGATATATTCAACTGCGTGCGAGAGCTGCGCTCCCAAAGGGTCAATTTGGTGCAGACAGAGGTGGGTGCCAGCAGCTCTCCCTGCATGAGGTGCTGCTTTCCTGTCAGCTTCTCTGCCCAGCAATTTATGAAGTCAACACTGGCTTGCTCTGTGCCTTGATTATGCAGAACTTTTGGTGGCTAAACATGCCCGGATTTGCACCGAATCAATTCACCGGCAGCTACTCAGGGCCTGCAAGACAGGAGGGCAAACCTTGAAGTTTGGGTCTGTGCATTGCTGATTAATTTTATGCTCATAGTAGGAAAAAAGAGCTCCTGAAGCCTCTCATGACTCATTCATAGGAGCACTGCAGGCTCCAGTAGTACCTAGTGTATATCAATTACAAGCCAAGCAAACAAAACGTCTCTGATTCAAGCTCTGGGTGCTGATTAAGCAAGGTGCTCCATCACACAGTGTCTGGCAGCTGCACAGACTCCTGTGGAACTGTTATCCTGTTGCACTGGTTTTATGTGTGTCCCTTAACCCCTTCCCTTCCTGAGGGACAGGACAACAACCTGGAACAGAGAGAGTTAACTTTGGTTAACTTTGTTGGACTTCCCATATTTGTTTTAGGGAAAGAGTTTTACCCAAAATACCCGGAAGCCAGGGTTCTGAAGAAACCTGTTAGTTCTGTACAGTCGGGCCAGAGAAGGCTAAATGGTATATTAGGAAAAGTTTCTTCATTTAAAGGGTTGTCCAGCCCTAGCACAGCTACCCAGGGCAGTGGCGGAGTCACCATCCCTGCAAGGATCTAACAGACATGCAGATGTGGTAGCTGGGGACATGTTCAGTGGTGAATTTGGCAGTGCTGGGCTGGACTAAGTGATCTTAGAGGTCTTTTCCAGCCTACACAATTCTGTGATTCTCTGGTGTTATTGGAGGTGACCATTGACTTGTGGACAGAGAGGTTTTATACCCTGATCTCCTCCTCAGCCCACCCTCATTTTGTCCCAACATTCCTGAGAGTGCCAATTCCCCATTTTCCTTGTAAATCTGAAATGAACATGTGAGACCTCACATTCAACGATGGATGAAATATGCTCACAAAGCTGTCACACAGCACACTGTGTAATTTGTCTCCACGTGAAACAGAGCCAAATATGCATATTGGGCACGACTTAAGAAAAAATGAAGAGTGATATTTCATGATCTGTATTAAAACTGTGATTTTAATATCTCCTCCCCTGTGCAGGAGCAGTACGTGTTTGTCCATGATGCCATTTTGGAGGCATGTCTCTGTGGCAACACAGCCATTCCAGTCTGTGAGTTCAGATCCATATATTACAACATCAGCAGACTGGATCCACAGACCAATTCCAGCCAGATAAAAGATGAGTTTCAGGTAATTTTGTATGTCGCAGTCACTGCAGGTGGTGTATTGAAGGTGTTTAATCAATTTCTGTGTGTTTCTTTGTGATTTCCAGCAGAGCAGACAAGGGGGACACTGAGCCATGGTCTGATTTCAGTTGATTTTTGTTGTTGTACTACTGGGTCAGGCAGAGATTTGGTTTTGAGCATGGACTATTCAGCCTTCAGCAAGGAAAAAATTGTGCCCATCACTCCAGTAGAGAAAGGGTACTAATTTTCACATGTAATGCTGTACTTCTTATTTTAATGAGTATTGTGTTGTTCATTTACTTCCATGATTTACACAGAAACATTTATGCCTCAAGGTGCCTTATTATCCATTCTTGTGGCTCATACGGTGCTTCCAAGTTTTGTCAATCAACCTGTTGACAACCTTCCACACAGGAGAGGGAGCTCAGTGAGCATTATTTTGGCTATTGCTAATTTTCCAATAAATGTGAATGAATCCCTCAGTTCACTACAGATGTTTTGCCAGGTACATGGTGATGAGACCCAAAATGATGGACAGCAAAACTCACAAGTGCTCCATTAGTGCTCTTTGCCCCGGGCAAGCAACAAAATATGAGGCCCTCCTTTGTTTCCTGTCCCTGCTGCTTATCCCACCCTGGTAAATGGGCTTGGGACACTCCAGCCATGGGCCCTGTGCAGTTGTTCCTCTCACAAAGCAGAGAATCCACACAGAATTCTGATCACTGAACTACGTTTTCAATTCTTATTCCCCATGAATCTATAATTCTTTACTGTAAGGCTGAAGAGACACTGGCACAGGGTGCCCAGAGAAGCTGGGGCTGCCCCTGGATCCCTGGCAGTGCCCAAGGCCAGGGTGAACAGGGCTGGGAGCAACCTGGGACAGTGGAATGTGCCCCTGTCCAGGGCAGGGGTGGAATGGATGGGCTTTAAAATCTCTTCCAAACCAAAACATTCTGTGGATCTGTAATTTTGAGTGAACATCAATGTAGGAAAAAAACAAGACTGTGGGAAATTTGGAGCAAGGTGAGTTTGATAGAAAGAGACATCTACTATTTGTTGAGGCTACTCACAGTCAGAGTAAAAAGGTGGAGATTGCTTTAATTACTTTTCCTCCCCCAGGAAAGTGTCTTTTGCATCAGGAGGATGTCTTTTGGGATCCCCAGCCTGAGCCAGAGACCTCTTTTCCTCCCTCTCTATGTAAAGGGAGAACGTGTGTCTTTTATCTGAAGCCTTACAGGGAATCATCAGGGTTGGTATAGTGAGATAAAGAATGTGGATCCCAACTGATGGCAGCTCAATTAAAAAAAGATCTGGTTCTATCAAGTGATAGCAGGTCTGTAAAAGTGTTTCTGGTTTGACATGAAGGAGCCAAAGCCGAACTTCACCAAATGCTGTTTAAAAAAACACTAGTAAAAAAACATCCACCGCTTGCTGGGTGTATTTTTCATGATATGAGACAGGATTTGTCACCTCTGTGCTTGTTCCTTTGAGCTGCCAGGGGCTGGCAGCTCCTGTGGGAAGGAACTGCTCCACTGTGCTTTGCATAAGAGGTTCGGTGTCTGTCTTGTTGTAGAATCTATTTTTACAGGATTTTGGCTCAGAGCGTTCCTCAGCCCTGATTGTCTGGATTTAATGCAAAAGCTAGTATCTCTGCTGCAATCTTTGGGAACCAGTTGATATAACTATAGATCTGTGCTTGCAGTTTGTGGTATTTAGGTCCCACTAGCCCTGAGGTAAAGCTGGATGTATTTCTCGTGCTCTACATGTTGTCTGGACATACAAAAGCTCACTCTGGAGAGTTTTTGTAATCTGAGTCAGTACAGGAACAAGGGAGAGAGAGGAGCAGCATAAAATAGACAGGAGTAAATCACTAGCAAGTCACCTGCCTGATTATCTGCAGTCAGAGATCTGAGATTTCATGTTGTTTCCTCAGCCAGACTCCCTGCCTTCCATCTCCAGACAGTGTAGAACCTGAATAATTTAGAGCAACTATATTATTTCAAGTTTTATACTCTGACACATTCTTTCATCTTGGATTGTTCGACCTTCCTCTTTTCTTCATTCATAACCTCTCTGTGGCAGAAGTCTAGCTCTTCCTAAGTTTTTGTTGTTGTTGTTGGTTTTTTTTGGCCCCTAAATATTTTTTATTCTTCTGGCTGCAGAGAGTTCATTGTTGGACTCCATGGGCTTTGCTCAGGAAGGGGAGATGCAAAAGTGGAAATACAATGACATCAGACAGCCATTGATCTACCACCACTTAAGCACTGGTGCTAAGATGCATTCACTTTGATTTCTGAGTTTTGACCCTTGCTGACCAACCTGGACTGGTTTGTCAGGAGGTCTCCACAATGGGGAACACAAAAGTAAAACAGATTCAAAGAAACACAGTCTCTTGAGCTGTGCAAAAGGCAGATAACAGTCACAGACTGGCAGCAAGGCTCCAGAGATTAGGTATAACTATGTAAGTGAAGCATCCTCTGTGTCACTTCAAAAGGAAAGCAGCAATTTAAATAATGCATAAAACAAATAGATTTTTCTGTTAAAACAAACCCCTCAAAATGACATTTTATCTTAGGTTTTTATAAGATAAGTCAGTAGTTTGAGGAATCACCAGATGCTCTGAACAGTCTGACCTGCTGGGTGGTGAGTACTCAGGGTACACCTGCACAGGACCCACCTGAAGAGGGGGAAGGCAGGAATGTTGTCTAGCTGCTCTGTGGGTTTAGAGCTGGAAATGTTTGGGAGGTGTATAGTGCTTTCAATTTTTGCTGGAGCTAACAATGTTTGGAAGAGTTCCTCAGGACAATCTGCAAAACACAACATGTTACAACAGCAACAAGCTCCTTAGCGCTCCTTCCTTTTTATATCTGGGATGCCAAATGTTCTGAAACTGAGTAACTCAGAGTCCCGAGGCAGGTGCAAAGGAGAGCCCTTCATTGCAAAAACCAGGCCTTTTTAAGCAGATACCCCATAATCAGTTACATCCCATTTAAGCACAAAAATTGTAATTCAACCAACCACCATAAACCACAATGTGAGCACGTGATGGTTCTGTAACTTGTTTTTCTACCTCTAAGTCAGCTGAGTCTCTTTCCCATAGCCCTTTTCTGTTTAGCTGAAGTAGCAGGTCTGAGACACGATTTTACAAGGCTAACAAGGCCCTTATTTTGTGAGTTTTTACCTATATGCAACAGCCAAACCTCTGCTACTTTGAGTCCCTTTAAAACAAACATGTTGTGCATAGGCAGCACTGACAGAAGCAGAGCACACAGCCTCAAGCTGCACCAAGGGAAATATAGGCTCGATATTGGGAAAAAGTTTTTCATGGAAAAAGTGATAAAGTTCTGGAATGGCTGCCCGGGGAGGGGGTGCAGTCCCCCATCCCTGGGAGTGTTTAACAAAGCCTGGATGTGGCCCTGGGTGCCAGGGTTTAGTTGGGGTGTTGGGGCTGGGTTGGACTCGATGATCTTGAAGGTCTCTTCCAACCTGGTCATTCTGTGATTCTTGGAAGTGAACTGCAAGGCACTCAGCCTGTTTGTGTCCTTGTTCCCCTCTCCCTGCCCTGCCCAGACCCTGAACATCGTGACGCCGCGGGTGCGGCCGGAGGACTGCAGCATCGGGCTGCTGCCCCGCAACCACGACAAGAACCGCTGCATGGACGTGCTGCCCCTGGACCGCTGCCTGCCCTTCCTCATCTCTGTGGATGGGGAGTCCAGCAACTACATCAATGCTGCACTCATGGATGTAAGCACTGCTCTGGCACACCCAGCACGGCCTGCCATGAGTTTATTCCCACTCATGATGCTTTTCTGGGAGAATGGATCTAAAGAAAAATACTTAGCTGTAGTTTCTGAGTCTGGTATCTCCAAATTGGGAAAAGCACATGAATTTTCTCTTTGTCACCAAAATATGTCCTCCAGAGCGTGGTTATCCCAGAGAAGTGGTCACAGCACCAGCCTGACAGAGTTCAAGAAGCTTTCAGAAAATACTTTTGGGCACTCTTGGGGATGATGCTGTGCAGGGCCAGGAGTTGGGCTCTATGATCCTTGAGGGCCCATTCCAACCCAGCATATTCTGTTACATGCTGTTACTCTGTGATCACACTCCCTAGTGCTGCACCACATTGGTAGAAAATTTTTGGCAAAAGCATCCCTCAGAGTGCAGTCTGAGGCTGGATCACAGAAAGGTAGATGCACAAAAAAGTGGGGGGACAGCTCTTCCCATACATTTGTTTTGTATCCATTGGGAAGAGAAAAGTTTGTCAGGTCAGCTGTTTGAAAAGGATAATTTACAGTGTGGAGTGAATGATTGATATGATCTTACGCAGTTAAGAATGTGGGAGTGCAGGGATCAAATGTGCAAAATATTTTCAGGCTAAAGGATGTGAGTTGAGCTGATGTGACTCTGTCCGAAGGCGTTTTCCCTCACTTTGTTTACAGCCTGGAATCTCACAGCACGGGTCATTTGTGGAAGATGAATTATGTTGATGGCTTCTTTTTGCTGTGCTGCCTTTGGACACAGATGTCTTTAAAGCCACTAATTATTGCAGTTGGAGTATGTGTAAATATGATGCAGGGTGAAATGCCATCATTTTTTCCCTGGCAGCAGCAGGGTCTCTGTTTTTTAATTTTGTCCGTTCTCCAATCTTTGGGAAAGAGCAATACTGTTGCATTTAAGATATTCAGTCAAATGGTCACAGAATTTATTTTAGATTTTTTTTTCAGCAAGATTGTGATGTTCTCATTGCAAACATGCCTAAGGAAACTTGTTTTTTTAAAGCGTGTTCAGTGCTTTTGCACATCTGCAGAAGCACAGTCCAGTCTTTGGTTTCTTAGGGATGGGGAATGTTTGTACATTTCAGCCCTCATTACCTCAAATCACTTTGCAAATATTTGGATCCTTCCCCACAAAATTCCAGTGGATTAATTTTTTTTAGTACAAAGCAATTTTTCACCTGTCATTGAAATTCAGCTGCTGTGATGTTCTCTGGCTCTCCTTTATCTTTCCATAAAGGATTCAGGAACTTTTGGGGACAAAAATAATCACAGGGGAACAGCCAGAATCCTATATTTTCATTGCTGTTCTTGCTGAGGTGTGAAGTCTTGTACTGAGCAGGGACTCTTAGAGGACACCCTCCATCAATCTCACATTGCCCTGAAAGGAGCAAAATGTCCCTCCTGTATAACAATGAAACATAATCTTTAACAAATGAGACTTAAGTTACATCATGAGTCAAGTCATGAGGAAGGGATGCTAGATTTACATTTAATCCATGGGGTTTGGAGAAAAACATGAATTTATGTGTCCCTAACATCATCATTGCCCCATAATCCCACACATGTTCTCTTGCATGAGTAGTTCACACCTCTGTGTCACCTTCCCTTTGAAACAGGACAGTGAACCTCGTTCCTCACCTGTAGCAAGGAGCTGGGCAGGGTTTCTTTTTCTCCTAAAGGCAAACCCCACAAGCACATAAGATCTTCAGCCAAGAGTTTAGCTAGATTTGCTACTGGCACACTATGAAAAAACCATAGCACGAATATTCTGGTGTTTAATTAATTAAGAGGTAAACCTCAGTATCTTATTGCCACTCTGTTGCTGCCACTGGTCTGGTACTTCACAACTTTTGACCCATTCTGGTGTTTCTAGATGTGGAATGCAGAGTGGGGAAAAAGAAAGAAGTCCGTTCTAGATGAAAATTTCCCAAGAAATCATTTTGTTTTCCTTCTCTGTACATCATGTCCCATCACCCTCCTCACATGTGCACACTCAGAAGCTCCTTTTTCCCAGCATGGCCTGCCCAGCACTTCCACCCTCATCTGCCTCACACGGAGGAGAAAAGACAAACCCCCTCAATGGGCAGCTTCGTACTTCAGGATTTTATTATTTCTTCACTTTAAATCCAAAATTTATTCCGCTGGAGGGTTATTTTGTGCTCTTTTGTTTTATTTACCCCAGAATTAGTGTGCCTTTTGATGCAAGTCTGCTTCATAGATGTACAGCACAAAGGACTGTGCAGTTTTCAGGCTCATCTGAGCCTTGCCTGCCATGGTTGGGAAGTGATAAAGTTTTCAGCTTGTTGCCTTTCATCCCAAACGTTCATTAACTCAGCCCTGCAGAGGCTGGAGCACAGCTCCATCCCTTCGTGCTTAGGGAGACTGAGATCAGGAGGCCTTTTTGAGGTGAAAGAATAACAGCAGAAATTAAATACCCATTTCACAGGCTCTGAATGCTGCCCCTTAAAGGATGGCTGGGATCCAAACGTGCCACCTCTGTCACACTGCACCCCCAGGCAGCCCCAGCAGACGGGGCTAATCCCTTCTGGAGTTCCTCGAGGCCACTGCAGCACAAAGGAGAACATTTGCTTCCAGCTGTTTTCCTTCCAATTATTAATATTACTGATAGTCGTAGCAGTAGTAATAGTAGAATTAGCATTATTTGCTGAGTCTCAAAATATAAATAATTGATTTGGGTAATCTCTGCTCTTGTGACACTTCTTTAATGAAATGTCTTTATTGGGAGCAAAAGAATCCCATTACGAGGCGTTCATTCATTGCGGAGCGATAACAAGGAGCAGGAGATGTGATTTGTATAATCTGGTTAAATGGCTCAGACTGCCTCCCCACAGCCTCCTGGGTATAATATTCCTTTGAATAAAAGTTGATTGATTTTTTTTTTTTAAACTAATCTTACTCTTTTGTTAGAGCCACAAGCAGCCTGCTGCCTTCATTGTCACCCAGCACCCCTTGCCCAACACCATCACAGACTTCTGGAGGCTGGTGTTTGATTACAACTGCTCCTCCGTGGTGATGCTCAACGAGATGGATGCAGCACAGGTCAGTGGCCCTTCATTCCTGGCATTTCTCTCCCTTCTCAAATCCAGGGGGCTTGCAGAGATTTCCTGCTGCCATTTTATTGGGGTGGGTGCCCTACCACCCCAATAAATAAATGAGGAGGAGTTGGAAAGTAATAGGTGATGTTTTGGGGTTTTAATGGAGAATAAGTCCATATGCTTGGCTCTTTGTAAGCTAATTCTTATTGCAATTAACAGGGATCACAGAAGGGTTTGGATGGGAAGGGACCTTAAAGACCATTTTACTTAAACCCCCTGCCACAAGCAGGGCTACCTTCCACTATTCCAAGTTGTTCCAAACCCCATCCAACCTGGCCTTGGACACTTCCAGGGGTGGGGCAGCTGCTCTGGGAATCTATCCCAGGGCCTCACCATCCTCACAGGGAGGAATTTCTTCCTGATATCCCATCTAATCTGCCTTCCTTCAGTTTAATGCTATTCCCCTTTTTCTTGTCACTCCACACCCTTCTGAAAAGTCACCCTCCAGCCTTCCTGTAAGCCTCTTTTATGTACTGGAAAGTTGCTATAAAGTCTCCCCATTTATTATATAAATACTTTGATATAAAATTATGTAAAATATAGTTAAAAGTATCACAAAAGTTTTATATACATATTGTATATATTACAGAATCGCTTCATGTTTGCAGGTCAAAATTTCCCTCCCAAACCCACTTTCTTCCCTCTCATATTTTTGTCTGTGTTTGGTTCAGGAAAATGCTCCCTACTACAGCCCCAGGGCACTTCATATTTGCCTTTTTCACATGGCATTTCCAGAAGAATAAAACCAAGAGAGCTGAAATAATTTGAAGGATCTTTCCCCTGAGATTTCCAGTGTGATTCTGTAATACTGAGAAATCTGCTTTGCACAGTTTGAGGATAATATAGTCCTTTTATCTCTTTTCCTTTTTAATTCCATGTCTAAGTTGGGTTTTGGCTACTGGACACAGCATTATTCTCAGCATTTGAGCTTGCCAGGGAGGAGCTTTTGCCATTCCTCCTGCCCTGGTTCTCCAGCCACCTTGCTGATGAGTGGCAGAGGAGAACAGCTTTCAAAAAGGTGTAATCATGCAATTTGTGTGGAGAGTACATTTGGCATGGTTAATTCACCCATTACAGCCCTTGTTCAATGAGAGGAGAGGAGTCCTCAACAGTTGGTACTTCATGGATTCATTTCTCATTTGTCTCTTGCCTGTCTTACCACACTTGCAGGCAGTGAATTGTTGGTCTCTTTTTTTGGATGGTGATGGAGAAGCCAATCACCCCAGTCCTTAAGGGGATGTCCCATCAAGGGCAACTTGGTGGGATTCCATTCCAGCCCCAGTGACAGCTCTGTTCAGCAGTGGGCTCTCCTGGTGCCCTGCAGAGTCCCACCACTCTGTGAGGAACCAGAGGTTCTCTGTATCCTGTGTATCTTCTGTTTTCCTCTTCCATCTCCTTGATTCTGCATCTTGGCATTGAATCCAGAGATAAATTTCACCAGTTTTTTTTTCCTGACACTTCAAAGCAAAACCCATCTTTTTCTGGAAATGACACACTTTCTCACACTTGGTTCTGGGAAAACACAAACTTTTCAGCCCCAGCCAGTGTTATTCTTGTGACTATCTTTCTGCACAAAGCTTAGGGTTTGTTTTTTTTTTCCTAGCAAAGTTTTGCTGCAATGATGTGGTCTGTAGGCACAGAAAAGGGGATTTGGCAGTGCATGAAGTCACTTTGACAGTTTCTATAGCACAGTGTCACCTCCCTCGAGGGTGCAGCCAATGCCAGAACACCCAGGTGGCACTGGAAGTTAAGGAGGATTTTAAAGTTTGTATTTTATGAGCTACCAGGACACTGTGAGACAGTTTGACATCACAGAATCATTTGGGCTGGAAAAAACCTCTCAGATGATTGAATCCAACAATTACTCCAGCACTGCCAAGGCCACCAGTAACCCATGTCCCCAAGTGCCACATCTACATGTCTTTTAAATCCCTCCAGGGATGGTGACTCCACCACTGCTCTGGACAGCTGTTCCGTTGCTTGACCACCCTTTCAGTGAAGAAATTTTCCCTAATATCCAATCTAAGCTTGCCCTGACACAGTTTGAAGCTGTTTCCTCTCATCCTGTCCCTTGTTCCTTGGGGATAGAGCCTGCCCCCCACCTGGTTGCACCCTCAGGGAATTGTGGAGAGTGAGAGGATTTCCCCCCTGAGCCTCCTTTTCTCCAGGCTGAGCCCCCTTCCCAGCTCCCTCAGCTGCTTCTGGGGGCTCCAGACCCTTCCCCAGCTCTGTTGTCCTTCAGACCACACACAACCATTGTGTGACTGAGTGGCCTCAAGCCCATCAATCCAGATCTCTCTGCAGGTCCTTCCTACCCTCCAGCAGATCATCAGATCCATTGTGGAGAGGAGTTTTATGGAAGACAACTTGGCACTGTGCCTGCACTGTCCTTGCATGACAATATTGTCATTCCCTGTCTGTTCATCAGTGCCTGATCGCAGGCTGTGCCCTGAGTTCAGGGAAAAGGCAAATAAATCCTGTGGAGGTCAGAGCACACGGCAGGCAGTGTTCAGCACCGTGTACACCTGTGTGTTTGGAGAGGTGGCCATTCACAGACCTGCTCTGAGAGAAGCAAATTTTCCATCCTAAGGAAAGATTTCATCTTTTTTTGCTTTCCACTGCACCTTGAGGTTGTTTGCTAAGCTCCTGCTCAGCTCACATCTCCCTGCCTGAGGGACAGATGCTTTGAGAGGAGATCACTAGGCAGCTTGAAAGTCTGAAGGAGGAGTAAAGACACCCTTCAAAGGACTTCCTTGTGTGGTCTTGGCTGGCTTGCTTAATCTTGAAAAACTAACAAGGGCAAAGATGCATAAGATTGTGTGAATATCCCACCCAACTTCAATCCTATATGATCAAAGGAAGAACAGGAGTGCAGAATTAATGCAGCCACATGCACACACTTGACATCGTTGCTGGCAGTGATTGAACTTGAAAAGCTCGAGATCAAGTTCAAATGAGCATCTGGGGGTTTCGAAACTTGTACGAAATTACACTTGAAAATAGGAAGAAAAAAAAACACAAAGAAATACAATCTTAGCAGAAACTGCTAATGAGATCTCATGCAAAATATTTTTGTGTCATGATCTATTTCCAGCTGGATTTAAAATCCTTAGATTGTAATTTGTGTGCACAGGGTGGTTTTTGTCCTTTCAACTCAGTAATATCAGCCCCAGAAAAAGACTCCCAGCCTGCTTCACAAACTTCAGAGGTGAAGTTGTGATTCACCCTGAAACCAGAGTTGCTGTTGTTGCTGTCAGAACAAATTCACTCTCCTTCTCCTGCTCACTGGTAGAGCCAGAAAATTAAAAATTTCATCTTACAGAAAAAAAAAGAAATTCTAGTTTGTTTAAATTAAGATTAATTTTCTTGGTGCCTGTTCTGTTTCCTCATTTTTACCAAATCTCTGTGGTTCCTATTAAGTTTATCTACAGACACTAATCTTTCAATGTTCCTGTTAAATCTCTGCCTTTACAGAAGCTTCATTTGTCGGCCACCTTCTCCGCACCTCTAGACCCAGAATACAATCAGTTCCAAACTGTGTTCATACAAAAATAAAGAGAAAGAAAAGTCCAGGCCCTAAAATATATTTCTTTTTTTCTTCATATTCAGGATATAAAATGCTTTACTGAGCTAGAATGAGATCTCCCCTGAACAAAGCCACAATATACAAATTGTGATGGATTTTGAGCTGGTTATAGATCCAAAAGGAATGACTGAATATGTTAATAATTAACATTTCTGTTTGTGTTGTGTTTTTTCCTAGCTCTGCATGCAGTACTGGCCGGAGAAGACATCCTGTTGTTATGGCCCAATCCAGGTGGAGTTTGTTTCAGCAGACATTGATGAAGATATCATCAACCGGATATTCCGGATTTGCAACATGGCCAGGGTAAGACAGGAGAAATACCACGTTCCCTAGTTATTCTCAAATACACATTTTGGCTCGAGGAAGAGGCAGAGCCAAGACTTGTTGTTTAGAGATGCAGAATCTCTCACCTAGGAATGAAATTCCGCTGCAGCTACTTCCTTTAATTAACATTTAATCAGCCTGCATTGCTAAAGGACTCTTGGCTGAAGGCAGCAAGTGGATGATATGAGCTGAAAATCTGTATTTAAATGGTGAGCATTTTTCTGTGTATATTTGAGAACAATTCATCACTTAGTAGCCAATATAAAGCCATCAGTATTGCAGGAAATAAACTGGGATGGTGTCAGCAGCTCTCCATCTGTCAGCTCCCAGGCAGCATCTCTGAAGACAGATGCAATGTTTACTGGCTAGACTGGGATTCCCAACTGCCACTGCTTTCCCTATAAATAAGCAACTGCCATTTCTGTAAGCAGTTCTTTGTCTGTGTCCCTCAGCCCCAGGACAGCTGAAATGCTAGAAACAAAGTTTATCTGCGCACTGAGCCCTGGCAATCCGGCTTCAGGACTGCAGGAAAGGGCTTCAGCAGAGGATTTTTCTCTCATTAGTTGTTTCCCAGATTGATTATGTTTCCTTTGTTGTTCCTCTTTCATTTTTTTCTTGTCAGAAATGGAAGCAGGCTCTGCAAATTATATTTCCATGCAGTGTGACCCATCAGTGTCTGCATGCTCAGAGCCTGTGCAGCAGTTCAGGTGTGGCACTGCAGAGGGATCCTTGTGGTCCAGCCACAGAAATTAATGAACTGGTTGGAGATTAGACACCTTCCTATGTCTCAGGGAGAGCCTGGGGGTGATAAAACTGGTCAGAGCAAGGCTCTGTGGCTCTCAGATGGAGCTGGCCCGTGGATGCAGTGCTGCAGGGTGGATGCTGTGCACTCACAGCTCTCTGCACCCACCATGTCCAACACCACAGCCACTGCCAGCAAATTTGTGAGGATCCTTTCCCTCCACAATCCCCAGAGAACTTTTGAGGGCTGCCTCTACTCCTTATGGCACAGCACAGCCAACCAGCAAAGAGACATTTGACCTGTTTGTGCAGTTTGATGGAACTTCATTCTGTAAGCCAAACAAAGCTCCTGTGCACTGACTGTCCGCTTGGCTCTGTAACAATTGTTCTCCGGGTTAGAGAAAAGCCCTTGTTTCTGCACTGTACCCAGCGTGGCGAACACCAGCACTGCTGGTGCAGGTGCAGAGGGGAGGCTGCTGTGCAAGCAGTGCTCCCAGCCCTGCCCATCCCTCGCTGGCCCCGGGCAGCCCTGAGCAGGCTCTGTGTTGCAGCCGCAGGACGGGTACCGCATCGTGCAGCACCTGCAGTACATCGGCTGGCCGGCCTACAGGGACACCCCTCCCTCCAAGCGCTCCCTGCTGAAGGTGGTCAGGAGGCTGGAGAAGTGGCAGGAGCAGTACGACGGCAGAGACGGGCGCACTGTGGTCCACTGCTTGTAAGTAGGGCTGGGAAATGTCTGCAGCCTCATGCGCTGTGGTTGTGGCTCTGGAAATCTGGTGGTTTGCCAGGCTTCAGCTGGGGATAATGGAGATAAAGTACTTTTATAACACACTTCAAGCTGAACATTGTATTGCATTATAGTATCCTGGCCCAGGGATTTTACTGATTGCAGTGAGAGGTGCTCGCTAGTGAGAGAAGAGCTGTGGGTCTCGTGACTGGAGCGCAGACAGAGCTGAAGCAGCCCTGCCATGTACCCAGCTCTATGCACAGAGCTGCTGTGAGCCCAGAAGAGGGATTTGCAACACTGCAGTCCCTGAGCGCTCCTGTCCCCTAATCCAGGGGGACAGGGAAGCTCCCCTTATGCCTTAGTCCTTCCATCCCTGCCCCGGTTCTACAGATCTCTACTTTCACAGACTCACAGAATGGTTTGGGTTGGAAGGGACCCCAAACACCACTCAGTTCTAGTGGACACCTTCCAGTATCCCAAGGGTGCTCCAAGCCCTGTCCAGCCTGGCCTTGGACACTTCCAGGGATGGAGCAGCCACAGCTGCCTCACCACCCTCACAGGGAAGAATTCCTTCCCAATATCCCATCTATCCCTTCTCTATGGCAGCGGGAAGCCATTCTCCCTTGTCCTGGCACTCCATGCGCTTGTCCCAAAGCCCCCCTCCAGCTCTCTTGGAGCCCCTTTAGGCACACAAACCCTTGAACATCAGCCCTTACGTAAGAGACCTTCCCCAGTGTGCAGGGCTATGAGCTGTGTGTGCTCTCCTTCCCTCAGCCTCAGCAGCCCCACCCTCCCCTCTTTTGTCCCGCTGCCAGGAACGGCGGAGGTCGCAGCGGCACCTTCTGTGCCATCTGCAGTGTGTGCGAAATGATCCAACAGCAGAACATCATCGATGTGTTCCACATAGTGAAAACGCTACGGAATAACAAATCCAACATGGTGGAGTCACTGGTAAGGATTCTTTCTGCTCATTGCCCACCCAGTGGGTGTGCAAGGGACTTCAGGATAGGTAAGAAAATGTCAAAATGGCTTAGTTCAGGATGAATCAAAATTAATGGGAACTTGAGTACAGCAGAATTAAAACTGGTCCTGTTTTAGCGTGTTCAGTGTATCTTCCTGCTTCTCTTTCTGAGAAGAGGGGATGCCCTGGCAGAGCGATGGACCCTGTGTCCCATGCCCAGCTGCCTCAGGAAGGGACAAACCTCACAGAGCTGTCATATGGCTGTGGGAAGAGAGGGATTTGTCCTTCTGTCTGTGCAGAGATCTGTCCTCCTGGCCAGCCCAGTGCTGAGTGCTGTGACACATCTTGAAACCGGGAAGGAAGAATAGTCCAGCCTCAAGCCTGGCTCCCTGCAGCCCAGGAGATTAAACTGTTCTGAATTCAGTCATCTCCATCCATCACTCTGAGTTCGTGCCTCAAAAGCAACATGTGCAGTGAGGGCTGGAGGCAGAAAATGAATAGTCCAGACTGGGGCTGTCTCTTTGAGTGCTTTTCTCTTCCTTTGATGACACCATCTCCCAGCCATGCTTGCTCAGGATCACTCAGAAACACAACCAGTGTTTGCCTGCTCCTGCCAAAGAGTATAAGAAAGAGGGAGGAGGTATTTTTCCTTGTAGGATGAGGCTCTGAGGAATTTTCCCATATCCTAATGCCATTCCTTTGTGTCCTCTCTTTCAGGAACAGTATAAATTTGTATACGAGGTTGCACTGGAATACTTGAGTTCCTTTTAGCCCAGCGAAGGGAGGGGACCCCACGATGTGCCAGACCCGAACTCTGGCGGATGCTTCTCCCCTGTCCCACACTGGAAGGCAGTAACAAGTGTGGGAAGGAAAATTTCTCCTTCCTTCTCAGCAAGAGACTGAGGTTGCAGAGACCTCGCTGGAAGGAGGAGATGATGCCTGTGTGTGCTGCTGCCTGCTTTCTATCGGAACATCTACTGCTTCTTAAATAACTTACTGTAAAAATTAGCAACATGGGAGACAGGCTGAAAGACTGGACTTTTCTAATCCCCTCTGACTTCTCTCCTCTTTTGGACTGTGTTTTTGTTCTGCTTGCTGCAGAGTGGGGAAGGAATGAAACCCTTAGGAAATTCTCTTTTAAATGTCTCCTTTTTAATTTATAATTTTGTTCTCAAATCCCAGCCTTTTAATTTTTTAATTTTATGCAGCAGTCATTTGGGAAAAATGAGATAGCCATAGGGGATACATGAAATGTTCCATTACAATTTGTCTACCTTATCTGTTTCCTTTTATTTGTTTTTCCAAATGAAAAGGCCAACACACACACACACACAAAAAAAAGACTATCCTGGAATTCTCTTCCCAAATGTAGTCCCTTTAAGCATGAAAATAGATGATGGAGATGAGAAGCTGTTCATGGATCCACTGCCTCCACAGAAATATTTCCTCCCAATTTCTGCTCGACTTCAGGGCCGTGCATGACCCAGTTCCATCCCTCTGGTCTCTGTGCTTTCACTGCTGGTGAAGCTGTTGAGGAATTTCCCAGCCACTTGAACTTGAAGGTTAAATATTTGCATCCAACAAATGGCATTTGTCTGGCAGCTTTGGTGACTTGGTTACCACATTTCCCAAGTATTAGCGGGGGTGCAGTGTGTCTCTGACAAACAGGGTATGAAGTAGGTATTATTCCTCATATACTATGTATGACTATTTTTTATTTATTATTTGTAATGCTGTAGAATTTAGGACCCCAGTCACGCCAGGACCCTGCTGAACTAGGCACTGTGCAAGCAGACAGCAAAGAAAGTTCCTGCTCAAGAGTTTAAAAGTCTGAAGGTTCTTAAAATTGGGTTTGGGCAAGATTTCCTCACTATTTCCAGGCCCTACAAGCTTCAAAATTGTAACCCACTGGAGCTGTAGGAAAGGTGATGTACATACACAGAAACCTGTTCTGACACCTGTAAAGAGAAGTGTTAGCCCAGCACAGCAACTTCTCTTCTTAAGCAAAACAGCTTTTGTTTTATTCTGCAAAAATGCCTGTGCAAGTCTCCTTCTCTGAAACAAACACCAGATGTGTTTTGCCACGGTTGTGGACCTCATTCTGACTTCTTAGCAGCTAAGAAATTGCTTTTCTGACAAAGTGTGTTTAAGTAGTTAATCACTAAGGTCTGCAGGGTAATCTTGGGGAAAAAAAAAATTGAATGAGCAAGACTTTACCATAATTAGTATTTCAATTTAGCCATTTATTTGTCTTGAGGGTGTGGGATATGAGGTTGCTCTGTGTGTAAAATGGATTCTGGGGTGTAGGGTTCTTTAAATTCAGACTTGCTAAAAGATAGACTGCAGGTAAGAGTTGGAGGAAACTTCAATTTTCTTATCACCCTGTAGTTTTCCACCCTCAGGTAAATACTCAGAGCCTGCTGGGAGCTCTGTCCTGCCCATGCCTGGCACAGAGCATGCCAGAGGTTCAAAATGTTTTGCTAATGCTGTCTGTGAATTCAAAAGGCACCTCTGCTTCATGGTCATTCTTTCTTCAATAGTCAGACCCTCACCTTGACCAGGAGGGATGGAAATGAAATCTGGAAAAGCAGCTCTTGACTGAGCCACACCAGTACCCAACCAAACCATTGTCATCCACCAGGACCTGCACCAGCCTAGGGAAGGATGCTTGTGGTTCATTAATACCCCTCTTGACAAGCAAAGGATCCTGAACCACCTGGGGGTTTCTCTAAAGAGCTTTGGATTCTTGGCTTTAATATCATGAAGGTCTTAACTGATCATGAACCACCTTCTCACAGGAGCCTCTGTGCTGTTTCTGGTCGGTCCCTTCTGTTGCCTGCAAAAAAAAATCATGAAATCAACTTTAGTTCCAGTTGGGGCTGTCAAGGGACTGGTCTGAATTTGTTTTGTTTTTTTTTTCTTTATGCAACAACACAGTTCAACAGGAAAAATAACTAGAAGGCAAAGTGAAACTATAAGATAAAAGTGAGAGGAAAAGAATAATATTGGTGTTTTGATTACAGGTGGCTGGGTGGAACAGTGTAGGTCAGTGTCAGGAAAGAAAAAGGAAGAGGGAATTCTAATCCCAGGATAGGTGTTTTCAACAACTGCCCAGGTATGAAGAAACTACAAGTCAGCAAAATGGTTTTTGACTCTGCTGATTCCAGAAAGCCAAAGGGACCCACTCCCTGTGGATAATATAGAAATATTAATTAGTAATTAGCATTCTGTTAATTTTACATAGCAAGTAGCACAGTGACAGGTCTCCCTCGTGACTTAGGGGAGTGAAGCCAGCACCGAGGGTGACAGCTGGGATAAGGGAACAGAGAGGTAAAGAAATGCCAGTATCACTGAGGTGTGAAGTGTAGGAAGTAATTTAGGCTTAACTTAAAAGAAAGTGGATTGAAATGCCAGAGTTAAGCCCACAGGAGGGGTGTGTGAGTGAGGGGAAGGACGTGTGGGATGAGCAGAGCAGAACAGCACTGGCAGTGCAGGGCTTTAGGGTCTGGAGGTAGGTTTGGATGTGTTTTATGGTATGAAAAACACTACTAAAGGGTCAGGTACCTGTATCAGCTGGCCCACAGCAACTCCCTGTGTGCTCAGCCCTCTGCAAAAGCCAAGTGATGTTGGCACAAACTGCAGGGAAAGACATTTAAGCTCAATTTTACATTTTATAGGAGCTCAATGCAAATGTTGGTTCCCACAGCCCAACTGTTAGTCACAGCTTATTATGTGGCCACTCAACCATGTGTCTGAACTTCCTAATGTCCAGCCTACAACCCATATGGAAAGATGCTCAGCAGACACTGCAGATTGTGTTGCCAAATTGTTATAAATTCCTGCAGTTACAGTGCTTTTGGGGGACTGACCCAGCTCCAGTCTGTGTTGGCTCAGGGATCTTCATGCTGTTCCTCCCTGCACAGTGCATATATGCCAAGTGTGAATTAATGATGAAGGGAATTGTGTGGAAAAGCTCACTTTAAATCACTTTATTACCTTGGGGTTGTTTAAACCCTAGAGAACAGCCCATAGTGAAGTAGGTAATGTGTTTGAAGCGAGATTATGGGTGATGGGTTTGTTTTCATGGGGAAAGAAAGAAATTATGAGATGAGATAAAGGAGGTTTTCTCACTCCTGGAAGGATTAATAGTCAGTGTGAGCTTTTCAGCCTAAGCATCCCCTGCTGTGGATGGAAAGTGATAATGTGCAGTAAAAAAGGTGAATTCCTCAGTGATTGAATTTTAGGCTGGAAAAAATATCACATTGACAATTTTGAATGGACATAATGAAGATAAACTTATTGCTATGGAGACATCCTTCAGAGGTGAGGGGGAACTGTTTGTGATAGCACAGAGTTGGTATAAAGTTTGGTCTGAAATACAAGGAAGTAGAAACAGGTGGTGTGGGGTCACTATCTCATATAGGGGGTAACCAACATCTTAAATTATTAATGGTGTAACTGCAGCAATGAATTCCACTGGTTATCAGTGGTTTGCAGCCTTTTATTCTGGAGCTGTAAACTCCCCAGGAAAATAAAAAAAGAAACAGTCCAGTAGCCACATGGATCCCACAGTAGTAGATTTAAGCCTGTGGATTTAAGCCATGGATTTTCCATTTACTTTCCACAGGCCCTTTAGCAGTAGTTTGTGGGATTTCCCTTGGGAATCTCAAGCCAGGGATTTTTTGGTCACTCTTGGTGTGATATAGAGGAAGGAGAGAGGCTCCTGGAGCAGGTGGTTCAGGAGGCAGTTAAACCAGTTTCCATCTGGAAGAGAAGGAAAGGAGAAGAAATCTCCTTTGGGAGAAACAAAACATTGGAGAAGAAGGCAAATGAAATGTATCCTGGAACAGGTAGGAAATTTGCACCTTGCTCTCTCTCTCATTCTTGCACAGCTGCTCTCATCTCACTCTTCTGAGTTCCTGCCAAGATCATAAAAAACACATAATGTCACATTCTGTGCTGTGGAGATGGAGCACTCGGAGTGTGACAGAGGGAATAAATCCTGAGGGACAAAGATAAAAGAAGATTTGCTCAAGAGGGGAATCTTCAAATATGAGGTGCTTCTATCTGTCACACTTGCAGAATTTTTAGTAAAGTCACAGAGTAGTGCACAGTCCTGGCATGGTCCTGGATGGGCAATGTGGTGGAAAAGTTCCCCTTGGAAAACTTCATTGTCCTGTAATAAATGTGAACAATTAACTCCATGACATTGGCAGCACAGTTAATTTTTGAGATCACTCCAGCCAGTGAAAGGGGCATCTCCACACCTTGGTGTAAAACTGCTGCATTTTCATTTGAGAATCTTTTAATTTGTCTTAAGTGTATAAAAGACAGTCAACCGCCTTTTTTTTTTTTTTTTTTTTTTTTTTTTTTTTTTTTTTTTTTTTTAAGGAAAATAAAGGGGGCCATGTGGCAAAAGTGGCAACATTTATTCAGCATAACCAATGCCATTGGGTCAAAAATTCCATATTCCTGCTGTGTGAGGGCAGAACAAAGCACTGCAGCTGCCCTGCCCAGACAGAGGAACAGGAGGAGCCAGCTAAGTCAGAGAGACAGATGTGAGCAGTGAGGATTCTGTTAACCCTCCTGTGCTCCTGCTTATTTAGATTGCAGTCTTCTATAGCCATACATACATAATATACAATTCCAATGCAAGTGCTCTTTCTTTCCCTGTTCCCAAAAATACCTCCAGCTATTTTTCCTCGAGGGTGAGCCAACAGCATAGCGAGCAAAGCCCAATTTCTGCCGATTTGGCAAGGACCACAAGGAAAATCCATCATGTATTATCTGTTCATTGACTTGGAAATTTTCATTTGAGAATCTTTTAATTTGTCTTAAGTGTATAAAAGACAGTCAACCACACCTTTTTTTTTTTTTTTTTTTTTTTTTTTTTTTTAGGAAAATAAAGGGGGCCATGTGGCAAAAGTGGCAACATTTATTCAGCATAACCAATGCCATTGGGTCAAAAATTCCATATTCCTGCTGTGTGAGGGCAGAACAAAGCACTGCAGCTGCCCTGCC